GCAAGGCCCGGGGCGTTACGGCCGGTGCGGGTGCGCGGCGCCGCCTCTGAGCCTGAGGGGCGGACCTCGGGGTAACGCGGGGCTCCCGAATTCATCCGCTCGGCCCGAGTGTTCACGTTTGAACAGCTGGAGAATGTCTGGATGTGTTTCCCCAGTGAGCGGCAAAACCTGACGGCCCAAACGCCGTCCTGCAGCTCCTCATTCCTGCTCGCTGCGATGTAGGAAGTAACGAATCTCAGTTCCGTATCTGCAACGCGGAGTAATACGCAGAGATTGATTTTCGAATATCTAGCAGTTTTAAGCTGTAGGAGCGCGTAAAATACCCCCAACCCTTGCCTCGTGTCCCCAGGCTGCTCCCCCATTTGCACGCCGTAAATGTCGGGAGTACTCTGAGCGCTCGCCTCGAGTCCTCGGCGAGCCGTGTGTCGCTCGCCTCCTGGGTTTTACGGTGGAGTTACAGCCGGTCGGAACGGTGAAATGCCTCAAACGCGGGGGCTGTTCGCTGAACGACTGGGAGGCGAAGACGTGGTCTGTTCCCAGGAGCTGGCTACTCTCAGTGCCCGAGCCCCGAGGCTTCCAGGGGGACTGTCCGTCTGGGGGGACCATCCATCCTGAGGGCCAGTCTGTCCGTCCAGGGGGTCTGTCCGTCCGGGAGGTCTGTCCGCCAGCCCCTCTGCGTCAGCTCGTCCCACATGGGGTGGTGGAAGGGCCGCTCGGCCACAGCTGGTTCAAGAAATTTCCAGTAGGTATCTCTGCGTCCACTGATGCTCGGGTTTGTTTAAAAGATCGTCCCGACAGCCATAACAACTTTTGGAAACTAAATGACGGGTTATTTCCTGCAGCAGAAGACAGCATTTAAAACGTGCCCCCCGGTCACCCCTCCGCGGCGCCAGAGCCCGGTGTCCTTCACAAGTCCGTGCAGGTGGTCTTGGTGCTCTTCTCAGCAGGTACTAAAATGTTTTTTCTTTAGGAAATGGTGGATCAACACTTCACGTTCTCCAGTGCCTGGAGGATCTGTATGGCGATGAATGGACATCTTTCATTGTGCTGCTAATCCATTCTGGTAAACGCTGTGCATTTTTCTTTCTGAATACGATGGCAGAGGAGTCAGAGTTCTGAAATACAGTTCCCTCAGTCATCCCAAGTGTGTCTGATCCGGTGGTTTGGATTTAGATTAATGCTTAAAAAGTATTGCTGTCGCTTAAGCATTTCTTCTCGGCACTTAAGTTGTCCAATCGGGCAGTGGCGAAGGAAGTGTAATTCAGAGTGTCCGAATGAAACTTCTGCTTGAAACACCCGCCCTCTCGGGGGGCTGGGGGCCTCTCACTGCAGGCAGACTGAACCTGTCGGGATAGGCAGAACACTCCCCAAAGGGCATCACTTCTGTGTAGGAGGAGGAGAGTATCCAGGTGATAACAAGCCACCTGCCCAAACCACTGCTTGTTCGAGTCACCTCTGACTTAAAATTCCGGGCAAGGGTGCAGGAGTCGTCCTTTTTTCAAGCAAAAAGCAGGCGTTGTTTGCTTTCTTCTCTAGCTGTAGACAAGTGTCCGTATTCCAGCTCTGAAGCAGACTAAAGGGAATGAAGTCAGCCACAATTTTCAAATAAGCTATTTAAGGCATGCTGGATTTTGGACATAAGGTCAGATCTGCTTTGAGAAATGTTGGAAGAATGATTGATGATTTTCTTTAGATCTGTCATTTTTTGAGGAATACTTAGTGTGTTACCAAGCTGGGTTTGGGTCTTTTATACCATTGTGTGTATGTGAAACAGCTGTGTAGGTTTAGGCTTTGCTTGTGGACAGCATCTCTGTGCGATTAAAGATGTCTTTGTTGTCAAGGTGGTTACAGCCAACGTTTACCAAACGCAAGTGCTCTGGGAAAGATTTTCACAGCGTTGCCTTTCGGTGAGCCCGTTTGCCAGATGCTGGAGCTGAAGCTCGCCATGTACATTGATTTCCCCCGCCATATGAAACCCGGAGTTCTCGTGACGTGTTCGGATGACATCGAGCTGTACAGCACCGGCCCCACGGAAACCCTCACCTTTGATAAACCCGGGTTTACGGCCTTAGCTCACCCTTCGGATTTGGCAGTTGGCACCACACATGGGGTGTTCGTTTTGGATCCATCCAGTTTTTCGGGGGAGGGAGGCCTGGAGTACGCGTCTTGCCGGCGCTTCCTGCACAAGCCCGACGTTGAGACGATGCGGCGGTGCGGCGCGGTGTGCGTGAGAGGGGCCTCTGCTCCGCCAACCTCGGAGTGTGTGTATACAGACAGTATATTCTACATCGACCAGAGCGCTGCAAAACACCTGCTGACGTTTTACAAGGAGGTGGGCACGCTCTGCTGTGAAATAGATGCCTACGGTGACTTCCTCCAGGCCCTGGGGCCCGGAGCCACTCACGATTACACACAAGATACCAGTAACGCCACAGCAGAGGAGCCGGGGCTGGTGGAGGTGCGGCGGAAGCTGTACTCCCTTCTGAGGGGAACCGCGCTCAACGTCATCGTCCTGAACAACTCCAGGTTCTACCACATTGGAACGACTCAAGAGTATTTGTTTCATTTTACAGCCGACAGCAAACTGAAGTTTGAGCTTGACTTTCTGCCTGTGGCCTTTAGCGCCTTCTCGGACAAAGCTGCGACCGCGGGCCGATGTGGCAGCGTCATCCAGAGCGTGCTGGAGCCTGGGGGTCGGGTCGGGCCCGGGGCCGTCGTTGAGTACTGCCAGATCGGGCCCGGGGCCTCTGTGGGGCAGGGCAGCATCATCAGCGGGGCATGCATCGGCCCGGGGGCAGACGTGCCCTCTGGCTGCCTCCTGAGCTCACTGAGCGTAAAGGTCAGCGGCCAGGTGAGGTACGTCAGCATGGCATTTGGGGTAGAAGACGACTTGAAAAAGAGCGTGAAATTGCTGTCAGATGTCCATTCACTCCAGTTCTTTGGCGTGGGCTTACTGGAATGCTTGGCCCTCTGGGGTGTAAAGGTTTCAGAGCAGCTCTTCTCCAGTGAGAATACGCGCTTGGGGTTGTGGACTGCTAGGATTTTTCCTGTTTGTTCTACTTTAAGTGAATCAGTTAGAATGTCGTTAAAAATGTTAAATTCTGTGCGGCACATGACAGCTTTTGACTTGAGTGGGTTTCAGCTCTTGTCTGTTGAAGAAATGCTCACCTACAAAGACGTGGAAGACATGCTGAAGTTCAGGAAGCAAATTTACGATGAAATTTGTCAACAGAGACAGAAAGAAAAGTCTGATTTGTAGAATGAACAGTACTTGAACAAATTCCCTGGCTTCGTTTGTGGATAATTGATTACTTCCCAGCTTGTAAAAATCATGAGAAAAAAGTACACAGATCTTTTCTCCGATTTCGTTGAAGCAGAAATAATGAAATTGCATTAACAATGTTGTTGCGGCATAACACTAATAATGCAGCAAATGCAGATAAACGGTTTTTCTGATGAAAGAAGTAATGAAATATTCCAGATCCCTGAAAACACTAATTGTTGATTTTTCTTGGGGTGCCAATTATAATGTTTTGTAGTCTTCGTCAGTAAGAATATGATACAGAACCAGTTCATTAGGAATTGCTTTAAAAGCTTTCCAGAGTAGGACACTAGCTCCAGCAACGTGCAATGATACAGCGATACAATGATAACACGTTTCTCTCTTTTCGACCTTCAAACGGGTAGAGACAAAATCATTAAAAGTACTTTTAAAATCAAAACATCCTGTCTTAAGTATAAATCATTTTATTTCTCATTTTTCTTTATTTTTAAATTTTTTTACACTTTCTTAGCTTTGATCAGAGGAAGAGCGTTTGCATGAGAGATCACTTTCCCTTGTGACTAATACTGTTGGGGTCAAGACCTGTTAGCAAGACAAGGTGCTGATGATTTGGGGTTTACTGTTAGAGTCTGGAAGCTGGTACTTTGATGGGCAGATGCCAGCTCTGTTACCCACAGATTGCTGGGGTGTGCCACGGGAACACCTGCGTTTCCTGTTTCTCTGAGCTGAGCTCTGGAGTCCTTGGAGCGAGGTTTAGCCCTGGGGCAAAGCAGAGGGGTGCCGAGCAGGGTGAGCCGCCGGTAGGCTGGCACCACCCTGCACCTCCCCGGAGCAACGGCAGCCTCTGTCTCTGTGCCCCTGCCCACCCGTTACCGACGAGGATCAGCGTTTCTGGTTTAGGTGCCAGAGATCCAGCTCCAAACAGAGAAGTACACGGTTACCCTTTCTGGCCAAGCCTGATCAAAACGGGAAGTGCCTGGCTTTTTATGTGTACGATTTCAAACGGACTTTTCTAAGCGTTCCCTGTTCCCACCCCCCTCTCAAACACTCGGGAGCTGTGCAGGAGGCGATGCTGCTGCGCCGTGCCCTGGGCTCTGCCGTCCTTTTTCAGCCAGTCAGTGTGTACTCTAGTGCTACCAGGTGGGAAAAAGCTTGTTCATGATGTTTATGTTCAGATAGCTCAGATCATTTATTTTTAATTTTGCTTCTATAATGCCTGCATTTTTAATTTTTCCATTTTGTGCTGTTTTAAGGGTGCACTGTGTATTATATCAATGTAATTTGACGGTAAACACAACGCAGCTTTTTCTCTGGCATGTATCTATGGCTGTTCATGTTTTATTTAGTGTTTCATTATAACAGTGTTTGTCTCCCTACTGACTGAACTCCCCAATGCCACCTCCAAGGCAGTGGTGTAACGGCTCCTGAATGTTACCCAAGCTGGCTTAACCTTCACCAGGCTGCAAGAGGCTTAGTATTGTTCCTGAAGGTCTCTTCTGAGCAAGAAGTACAAAGGAGCTAGACATGGAGGTTGGGAATTGCTGAGGTTGACTTCAAAGGAACAAGGAGAATTTCTCAGCAAATGGAGGTTTTAAAAGTCATTATAAACCACTAGTTTAACAGCAGAAACGTCAGTATGTTTGAGAACGCTGAGGGCTAAGAGAAATAGATAAAGTCACAAAGTAAAACCACAAAGTAAAACCAGCCGTAGAAGGTGGAGCAGGCGTGGTGGTTTCTGTATCATCCTGTCTGCATGGCCTGTCCATCTGGTGTTAGAGTGTACAGAGCGTTTGGGGGAAAACAAAGGGCTGACAGAGACTTTGCATCTTCAGCTGGAGGCCAAACTGTGTTTTGAAAAGACTTCCCTGATTGCTTCACCTGGTAGACAAGCTTCCTGGGTGGTTAGTCACTGTAAAGTGAAGTTGCATTCTTTTAATGTGATTATTCCCTTTAACTGCCATAATTGCGTTATTTCTGAATTCCCCAAGTGCCGTGTATTGATTTCATTGCTGAAAGCAACCTGGATAGAAAGGGAAAATGGATTTGCTTCTGACACACCAGTAATGGGGACAAAGCAGGAGGTGTTACGCGAGAACTCTGTCGGTCTGAGGTTCTGGGTGACTGTGGCAGCCGGCGGGGCGGTGACCCCACTGGTGGGCCCGTAGCCTGGCAGCAGCAGCCCTGGCTAACCCCAGCTCGGGCTCCTGCGGCGGGTGGGGGGAGCTGGGGGTGCTCTGAGCACCCACAGACAGTAAACGCTCCCCAAGCCCCACATTGCACAGCGGGTGGGGACGGGGAACCGCGCGGGGCTGCCGCGCCTGGTCCTGCTGTCACGGACCCGAAGGGGGAGACTCCCGTGAGGATTTGCTGGAAGTGCCCTTCAGCCCTGGCCGGGGAGCGCGGTGGCACCGCCAGCAGCACAGGGGTGTCGGCACCCCCGGAACGGAGACGGGGGCAGCATCTCCCCTTCGGCCGCTGCTCGCCCAAACAGTGCCAGCGGTTAAACCCCCCGAGGGGCCGTCAGACCTGGCACCTGACGGAGTTGAACAGCCTGTGGCTCAACATGTCAGTGAGGGGCTAGAAATATTTTCGTAACCTCTCAGTAAAGGCCGGCGTTACCTCTGTTTTGCAGGCCCGCGAAGCAGGCGGTGTCCAGCCCCATGTGAGCTCTCAGCAGCGTGTCCGTGAGCTGCTCTGACAGGATAAAACACGAGATCTTGAGGCAGAGAACTTCATTAAAGAAATCTGTTGTAATGCAATGAGCGCAGATTTGATTTACTAGGTAAGAAACATCAGACTCCTTCAAGTCTTTACGCCACTCCATGCTTTCCTTTTGTACTAAATATTTTTGTCTCTAATTTTAGAAAGCAGATTTCAGTCAGTGTGAGCGGTAGGTACTGCCAGCAGGCTGAAGGAATTCATTCCATAGGGATGGAGTATCTGGATTTGTACTATTTTTCATTTTTAAACGACAGTCAGGTTTAATGTGACATTTTATGAAAAACATTTTTAAATATCTTTAATACAGAGCTCTATTAATTATTTCCCCCCATGTTGTTACGCCACGTGGGGTTATGTGTGTGCACGTTCACCCACACAATCTGTAAATTCAACCCTGGACTCCGCGCTTAGGAATAAACACTTTCATGGGTAAGCCTCCACTAATTTCCACTGAGCCCCAGGAAGCGCGTGTTTGCCCGTTAAATTTCTAATGCATCCATAATCCTTTGTGGTCTTTCTTACTATCGATAAAATTATTGCGAAGTACAAGATTAGAAAGTTTATGGAAATATTCAGAGAAAATGGACTGTGCTGTAGAGAGTATTAGTGCATAAAGATTGATAATGGTATTGGCAATCCAGGCATCCATCTGCCAGGGGCTGGTGGAGTTTGAAAATGGAAGTACACATCCATCGCACTTTGATGAATTCTGCTGAAAGGATTTGGTAGACATAAGGCATATTTTTCTGCAGGCTTTCCTGTGAGTTTTAAATGCCGAAACGTGGCTTTGCCCTGTCAAGCTACAGAAAGTAGCTAGTGTTGTTGATTTTCCCGTACTGGCTTCAGATTAAAATCTGAAAACCTGGAATGAATACCCTGTTGGATTCAAGTCACTAGGAGTTTTACTTTCGATTTAAGCAGGGGCCAGGATTTTGCCCCTGGCAAGCACGTGGATGCAGCAAAGGTTTCCAGAGCCCACCAGGGACGGAAATCTGGAGCAGCACAAGGGCTGCAGAGCTCTTTGGGCACCCAGAGAGCGAGTGTCCCAGCCCTGCACACCGGATCTTGTTAAAGTCAGAGAGTCCTCAGGCTGGACACTTCCTGACAATAATAATCTCGGTCTGATAGACACAGTATGTGTCTGTATTCTGTTTGTATTGCATCCTACGAACTTTAGTTAATCTTCCCATTTCAGTCTGCTGTTAAGGTAGATTACAACAATTTTCTCCTGCAACCAGCTGGGATAAACCGGCCCCATGGAAATTGAAAGTCTTGTGTGAGGCCACACGGTAAAACTTAACGGCAAGATAATAGTAATTACGGGGCTGCTGGTTTCTAGCATCAGATTCTGAAAACAAGATCATCGTGGATTCTGGCCCACAATTCTCCTCCAGTCTGAGTAATAAGGGAGGCAACGGTGAAAATGCCAGGGTAGGACCCTGTAAGAACAGGAGGCAACTGCTGAAATGTGGAGTTTTCGTCTTGATTAAAGCTTATCAAGACTCGGAGATGGATGCAGTTTTCATATGGGCCTCTAGATCATTGTCTGGCTCCATCTATCCTGAAATGCAGCTCAGGCTGGTACAGTCTCAAATAAAGCCAAGATGAGTGTTTAATGATTTTATTCATGTCAGCTTTCTTTATTTAATTAGTTTTGCTGTGTAGTGCAATAATAGGTCTCATAATGAACATCATCTTAATGATTTCCCTGAATGCTTTGAGAGCATGCTATAATGAACAGAGATTTAGCTATACTGTATATATTACACTATGAAATTTGAGAGAGGAGGATTATTTCAGTAACCTTTTAGGCAGGAAATTGAAATCTGAGAAATTGGGCACTTAAAAAAGAACACAAGGGAAGGCAGCCGAAATAAAAATGAGCAGCTGAAAGGTATCTGTGCCAGAAGGATTTGGGGAACTGACGAAAGAAAGTAAGCTCCAACAATCATTTGGATCTGCATAGAAATGTTCTTGACTTGGACAGGGAGTTTGTCTGTGCTGGAGCTCAGCGGTTCCAGCCCCCTCGTTCCTAAATCTCTGATGCAACAGCTTCATTTTCTGCTCTCTGCACATGTGGAAAATTAATCCCTGTGCAAATGTCACTGCAGTATTGTGAGAACGAAAATAGCAGTACTGTTCATCTGCACGCTCCTTTTAATCCATCGGCACCGAGAAGCCCTTGTAAACACCTGTTTCCTTATATGGGCTACAGAGCAACTTGTACTTTGTTTACAGTAAAATGCATTTTCTTGTAAGGCCCGTTTCACTCTCTGCGACATATCTGAATATCCCCAGAATGACACTGAGGTGTGTAGGACCAACTTGCAGCCTCTCAAAGTTATGATATAGGCATGTTCTCATTAACCTGAAATAAAAATCATGTCAAAAGAGTTTACCCTGTAAAGCCTCCCTGTGAAGGGCATTCAGAGCAGAGATGGGTGCCTGGGGGAGCCCCTCGCTGGGCGCTGGAGCTCCCTTCGCCTTCCCCAGGGACAGCGGGACCTGCGGCACCAACGCCAGACAGAAAAGGGGCCTCCCTGGGGCAGCTGGAGGCGACCCCGTGATTTTTACCCAAACTGACAGTCTTCCAGTTTGGGCTGTTACGCATCCAGGCCCCGAGGTGACGGCAGCTGGAGTCCGGCTGCTCCGAGGTCCTGACATGTGTGGAGCAGCCAAGTCACGGCCCCGGCCAGTCCCTCACGGGATCGGGGTGCTGCCGGCCCCCCGCAGACCCCGGGCCCCCAGCAAGGTGGGCAGAGTGGGCAGCGCTGCGACAGCCGGCGGCTCCACGGGCGGAGGACAGAGGAGTCGGAGGGCACCAAGCCACAGGGTCTGGGAGAGTCGGGGCTCCGAGGGACATGGTTACATCCTCACAGCCTCGGCCGCAGGGGGTTCTTTCATAAACCTCAAAACTTTCACCCAAAAAGGAGAACACGACGGGTTTTATTATCGCTCCAGTGAAAACTGAAGTGCTTTTGCCCAGATCACGGCACAAGAGCGAAAAGTCAGAGATGTGTCACCTCCTGCCCGTGGGGACGCTGAATGACAACGCGCGGCCGTGGCGAGTTCCCACCGCAGCCCCATCTGGGCCCGAGGTGTCCCCCAGGCTGCTGGCCCCAGCACTCTGCTGGTGGCCAAAACCCTTGTCTGTGGCTGCACAACCACGGCTGCGCTGTAGGTACTCGAAGAAAAACAACCGCCACCGGGCTGATGAAGGCAGTGGGAGAGGGGAGACGGGTGCTGAATCGCCAGCTCTTCCAGTTGCTTGGCAACCAGATGTGGAGGATCCCTCACCAGGCTGGTGGTGCCTTTTTGCAAATATTTGGTTGAATATCACAGGACATGTTGTCAAAGCAGTTCAAAGTCTTCCGGAATGCATCCTTGGTTTTATGTGTAAATCAGTGCAAATAAATGGGTGAGCTCGTGCTGTGTCAGGAACCACCACCCAGGGCACGGCTGTTTACAGTGGGATGCGGCGTGATGAAGACTTTATGGATGTGCATTATATTTACATACCTTCTTGCCTGAGAGCCTTAACTGAGGAAACCAAGAACAGAACAGCTGCTGGGGTCGATCAGCACACTTTAAAGATATAAATACAGATATAATATTGTATAAATATACGTGTGTATATAAGCATACATATACAAGTATATGTATACAAATAAAAAATAAAAAACAAAAGGAGGATAAACGACAGGCACAGAAACCAGCATGAATCCCATAACCGCCTGGGACAATGTGTCAGGTGGTTCCATCTGAGAGGAAACCCCCGGGAAATGGATATGAAAAGGGCGGACAGTGAGCGAGCAGAGCTGTGCTAACCTGTGGGTTACTGAGGAGGTGAGTTTGCGCCCGTGAGAAGCAGCGTTGTTGTGCTGTTAACCGATCTTTCACAGACTTACAGGGGTGCACCTGTGCACACAGTCGAGACTAGTTTAGGCAGGGTTTGTTTGCAGGTGTGTGCACACACATGGAGCCCGGTTTGCTCAGGTCACCCTTCCAGCTGGCCAGAGAGCGGGGGTTTTACTACCTGGCTGTGACGTTGGGTCCGAGATAAAAACCTGACAAACAGGACGGGTCAGACCGGGCGTGGGGTCAAGTGACGTATCTGTGCAGATCCCGGACCTCGGCTGTCCTGTACGCGGTCTGCGTGGAACATGCACACAGCAGCAGGATGGTGTCCTCGTTCATTTCTGGAGAAATTCCACCCAGAGCTGGAGCAGCAGCAAAGCGAGCTCAAGCATCTCGACCGTGCGCTGGCAGGCAGCGAGCACCCAGCCCCGGCTGTCGGCTGCCCCCGGCACACTCTGCTCGTAGCGTGGGGAGGGGGATCCTGCCTGGGCCTGGTGTGCCCGCAGGGGAAGGCACCGAGCCCCCCACAGCCGGCGCGTTGCCTGCCCTGATGCCCTGGGACTTCCTTAGAACCACGACGTGCACAGGCTTGGCCCAAGTGCAAAAGGCCGGCGCTGCGCGAGGGCAGGGCTGGCCCCCGCTGGGTAACACACCCAGACACCCCAAAGCCATCGCCAGCTCCGTAATGTTGTGGGGTGAGACTGTCCCCCGAACAGGGGACGCCCCGCGGGGATCCTGAACGTGTGCTCGAGATTCAGCTGCTTAGAGTCCTTTTTCTCTACAGAATTGGTGCCAAGCTGCCAGATTACCCGCTCCCCACCAGCTTTAGGGGTTTTAGGTATTCCGCGGAATAAAGCAAGGGTTTCTGTTGAAACAGATTTTTAAGCAAGCTGATTAGCTACTTTTGGTATTTTTTTTTTCCAGTTGACAGCACAGACCACTTTGCTCTGTGTCATTGTTGCATGACATTCCATTTGGCACAGGGTTTATTTTTAGCCAGAGACTATCAAAAGTATTTTTCAGTAGGACTGTCACCGCTCCTGAACAGGGAATCATATTACTCCAAGAACTTTGCTGAAACAAAGAAGATATATTGGACAAATGGGAAATTATAAATCTAGACCAACCCAAACTTGCACTGGTAATTAATGTTGCTTTTTTAACTGCAATATGCCATACATCCGTCGGCAAGGAGCAAGTGATATTTCAGGGAGTAACTCATCGCTAACTTACTGTTGTGTTCAAGGAGAAGGTATTGTGTTGATCTTGGCTTTACGAGAAGAATGGCTTCACCCAAATCGCAGTCTCTAGAAGCAGACAAAAAGCCAGGAAAACTAAATTTCTGTGGGCAAACCTCTAAGATCATATTAACATAGAAGATTATGTTGATTTAACTCATACTTCATCAGAAAAACTTTTAAACTTCCAACCTTTTTATGCTGTGTCTCTATGCTAAGATTTAGGATATAAGAGCTACCAAATGCAACATAAGGTTAAAGATTTCTCTTGCTCGAGTTAAAAATATTTCTGATAAGGATTCCTATGCATTGGTGTCTATGAAATCAGTGTGTATTTGTCTATATTGGTTTCAGCAAGAATGGTTTAATAGCTGTAATATTTTAAACTTTCATACTTTAATATAAAAATATATGGAACGGTGTATAAGTGGATGCTTCAGCAGCAAGTGCTTTGGTTACTGGGATATTATGATTTGAGTTCCTGTTTTTTATAGGTTTTGAAGTGCTTTATGAATCAGGATTTTGTTGTTGTTGTTGTTGTTAGATGAATGGAAGAAGAAAGTGAGTGAATCGTATGCTATAATCATAGAACGATTAGAAGATGACCTGCAAATCAAAGAAAAGGAGCTGGCAGAGCTGAAGCATGTCTTTAGGTAAAGTACGCTGGAAATCTGTTAATTTCTTTCAAACAAGTACTTGCTATTAAACAGTATTTTCAGTTTCAGGTGTTTTCTTATGGAAGGAGTTTCTCCCGTATGGAATGCATGTTCTTTAAGGTCTATTTTGGGGAATGTGTCTTTACAGTCCTGGGCTAGAGTCCCACAGTATCGTACCAAAATTAGTGGCCATTAATTACTCATGCCAATATTTTAGAACAAACACCTCTGTATTTTTGTGAATTAATTAGCTTTAATGGGACGTCTATGTTGTGTGGTTTTCAGTTTTGCTAATGTGTTTCTTCAGACAGGAATATTGCTGAGGAAACATATTTTAAACAAACACAAAAGCAGATAATCCCCTGAAAGTGGATTTCAGATTCGTGATTGTAATCACTTTCTCAGGACAGCAGACGCTAACACCCAAGTTCACCCAGCTGAGTAACATACTTACACGTTGCTTATCTGAAAAGCTCGACTGCAGAAAACACCCCGCTTATTGACTGTGAATAAGTAAGGAAAATGATCAGGTAAATAATTTCAGACATCGAAACCACTTGAAAAAAATAAGGGATTCTAATCAGAAATAAATCACACGCTCAGAAAATCCAAACTGGTGGTATGAATTATTCATCACACTTCCTTTCAGCCAGCGTAATTATCACTGTCTGAGCCTGTTAAATGAACGACGACGTTGGCCTTTCCCCGCAATGCGCCGGCCGCTCTGGCTCTGATCCAGGGAAGGACTCGGTACTGGCCTCATTTTAAGCCTGTTTAGTAGTCAAACTAATTATCTTAACAAATGGGAGCCTGAGTACTCTTTATTTTAGAGAAGCAACACAACTGAGTAGATGGTGAAAGTGCTGAATTCCTGCATTAGCTAGAAGAATAAAGAAAAAAATTCTCTCCGAGGTTAATCAGCCCTTCGGCAGCTCAGCCTGTCCCTCTGTCCCGCTGCCCACCTAAGCCTGCCGGACGTCAGCCCAGCTCCTCCTCGCAGGTAGGGCACTGCTCCTTCCCACCAGAGTGGGGACTGGTGGTACGGTTACGCTGCGCTGGGAGGACTGGTTTGAGTCAGGCCTGGGAAATCAGCCAGTGATTTCATTCCCAAAAGCTGCCTTCATCCATGAGTAATGAAATCAGTCAGGGTCTGTGAGCATCTAAACCCCAGATTTGGCCTGTGTAAAAAATCACTTGACTATATGAGAAACTTTCCTGCAGCAGCAGTGGTTATTTTTGGAAGAGTTCTCATCTCTGAGGTAGCAGAGGAATTAACAGGCTTTTTTTCCCATTGTTAAAACAAACCCATTTATTCAAAAAATTTATGACTGAGAAAGCGGATGGTTAATGGAAGATAAGGCAAAGGAGGTAATTTGCCTGATGGAAATGAAATAAGTAGCTGCTAAAGTCCCTGCTCTGAAAGGTTTGGGACATAACCCGGGCAAAAGTGGCAGAGCCCAGCAGAGGAAAGACCCATCAGCGTCCCCGTTCGTCCTTAGGGAGCACAGGGCAGGGGGGTCTTGTCCAGGGCCATCGAAAAAAACGGTTCTAATAGCCAGAATTAAATTTATAAGTATCACCTGTCCCTTCCTGGGTAAAAGCTGCCCCTCTTCTGTCCCCGTATCTCAGAGCCACCAGTGCAGTGGTTTACTGAAAAGAGCACCCTAAAATAAAAGGGAAGAATTTTGTTTCCCCAAAACATGCAATTAATTCTTAGGAAAGGAATTAGGAGGACACGCAGATAAAACTGAGCCCTGAGTGCGGTCATCTGAGCTAATTTTCATTTTCAGTGGAGGCCTTTTAATCGCTGCTTTTAAGACATAAAACTTTACTTGCAATATTTTCCCAGAAAAACATCAAAATTTTGCCAGTTTACAAGAACTTAAATCATGCTAAGACTGAATGTCATTAAGAAATCAGACTGAAACTTTTTATTATTATTTTTGAAACTGGGAGAAGAGGAAAATTTAAGTATATAGCTAAAAAGGTAAAACCTGGAGTTTTAGCCACACATTAGGTGCCAGGAATGTGAACTTTTAACATAGTTCTAAGGATGAAAATTGAAACAGGAGAAAGGGCTTTAGAGCACGACAACAACGTGTGATTCGGAGACTCGCAGAGTTCATCCTCCAGCCAAAGCAGCCCACTCCACCCCGCAGTCACCGCGGGGCGTCGATACGTGGGGTCGTGCATCCACACGAACCCAGCGTGTTTCAGGACAGACCAGGCAACTGAGGGACTTGTTCCCCAGAACCGGGGATTCATGTTTCCCCTCAGCTGCCCCTGGAGGAGAACCTGCAGAACAGATGAGCCTTGTATCGCTGCCGTTAGTCACACTGTGTCAGAGAAGAATGCACACAGATAAAACACATTTGAAGAATGAGATTTTATTTTTACTGAGCAAAACATTTTCCACATTAGTAAAGTGGGAGTGGCAGATGCAGGGCTGTCAGCAAACAAAGATAAACGTGACTATAATGTGGGAAAAAAAGCAGTTTACATTTAGGACCTAAAAAAAATGAGTTTCCTTGATACGTGATACCCTTCTAAGGAGTGCATATGAAAATCTAGACTGATGAAAGAATTGATCATCTCACTGAAGCAAAAGTTTAGGCAAAATGAATTCAGTATTTGCTTTTATAATTAAATGCCGTGCTCTCTTTTTATCAGGCCCATACCCTGTCTAAATCAGGCACCGCTGCTGAACATTATAGAACGCTCAACACTGACAGCAGGCAGTCAGGAGTTCCCATCAGAGGGGTCTTCCTGATAGAAAAAGTATCTTCCAAAAAGCGATTTTTCATGAGAAAAAATGGTCAGTATTTCTCACACGGAAAATATTTGATTTTTACATAATTAATACTTAATTACAATTTCACTTAATTTTAGTTTGAATCCTTAGGTTATTTACTTACCAGCACAACCCCTGGTCTGTCTGTACCTCACGCCCCATCCTGGGGTGGGAGCCCCTTGCGGCAGCGGGGTCACAGGGCTGGGCGCTGGGGGGACCCGTCCCGGGCTGCCCCCCTGGGGACCCCCGAGGGGACCCATCCCGAGCGCCCCAGCCCTGCCCCACGGCGCCATTTGATGGCTCCCAAACCACCCCGCTAATCTGGAAAATTAACCGCCACGTTCTGGAGTTCAAATCCTTGCTTTCAAAATAAAACCCAGAAAAATGTGGTGGTTTAACATTTCCAAATTATTTCTGCCACACTTCATGAAAAAGAACATGAAAACACAGGTTTTATTCCTGGTTTGGAATGATAACACACACTGAACAAGCAGGATTTCTTTTAGGATAGACCTAACAGCAGCAAAGACAAGTCTCTGGCTTTGTCTGCGTTTTAAATTCTATTTAAAGAATAAATTATTGAAATACTTATTGAAAGAAAAGGCCTAAGGGTCCCCTTGCTTAGCAGGGGTCATCTTGCTAAAGGGAGCTTTGCATAGGTTTATATCTTGAAAGGAGAGAGTAGTATTAAAACTTTTATTTTTAACTGTAAACCTGAAAAACCTGTGTAACAGTGCCAGTCAGTGTAGATACACAAATCTAAGAGTTCTGCTGAACTGTGATCACGGGTGACGCTGAATGGAAAAACCCCAAACTTCCACTGACAGACCAGCATCGGCATTCTCCACAGAAATATTAATGGCCACGTGTATTTAATTTTTAACAACTGTAATTACTTAGAACGTTTGACAGAGCAGTTACAAGTCAATCTGTGCTAAGGGAAAACTGAGAGGACAAAAGCTACAACGGTGGAGTCTAGTGATCCTTTAACAGGCTGGAAGGAACAATAGAGGGGTCATTTTCCTTCACACTTCTCAGAGGTTTTCTTCACTGATTAAAAAATTAATGAGACACTTCAGGCAGTCCGAGTTTTTCAAGTAAAGCCGTAACGCGTGTTTGGCAGGATGTGTAACCAGAGGTGGGTACAGCTCCAGCCGGGGGGGGTACTGCTCTCTCACCACCTCACGGGCGTTCACTGGGGGACATAAAGATGTCCAGGCCCGCTCCCCACAAGCTTGTGCAAAGACACTCTTCGTGCTGCTTTGTAAAACCAGAAGCACCTTTGGGTTGCTGCTCCTTCCCTTTGCTGCCAGCTTTTCTGGCTTTATTTGATGAAGTGCTTTACTTTTGAGCTTTAGCACGTGTTGTACGACAGGGAAAGGAGAATGGAAATTAATGAATTATAACATTGCATAGGTGGTGACATTTTTATATATGTTCTTTTTTTTTGTGCTGAAAACGAAGAGAGCACTAAACACAAGTGCCGAGTCTCTTTTTAATGAGACTTAGTATGGATCTTATTGAAGAGTTATTGTATTAGAGATGTATTTATAATAATTAATTCATTTTAATTATTCTTTTCATCCTTGTGTGGCCCGGGAAGCACTATGAAATCATTAAGCTATATAAAAACATTACACTGTACCAAAAATGTGGGAGAAAATTGAATGTTAAATTGAGTTTCATGCCCCTGCCCCTCACCTCAGGCTCCCACAGACCTTCTCAGGGCTTCATCTGCCATTAGAACTTCAAACCCTCGGCCAGAAATGGAACTTCTGGAAAGACTGAATCATTTCCCAAAATGCTTTAGAAACATCCTTCCTCTAACCACTGCCAAACCTTTGTCTGAGCCCTGGTTACCTCCCGTCCGTGTGTCTTTCTGGTTTTCTTTTTACTTAGCTTGTTTGCCTCTAGTTCTGTGCACATCCTGCTCGTCATTTTAGAAAGAATACGTAGATTTTTAAAACACTTCTTAGTTATTATTGCATCAATAAATTGGTTTTGCATGAATTACTTATGTTTCTGAAGAGTCTTTCCACTTTTTTCCTCTAGTTTAGCTGAATTTAGAATGTATATACTGTGACTGAACAGCAGGATTGTTCAGAAAATAATAAATCTGGACTACTCACTTGACATCAGTAAAGTATTTCTAGATTTACAGCGCGTAAACTGGGTATAAATTTAGCCCTGTCTCAAAAAAAGTACATTGAGATTTCTCTTTTAATTTTTTTTCCGAATGAAAGAAACCGTGCTAAAGGACAAAAACAGTAATCATCTGTAAAATCTCTTTTCAGCTCTGATGAAGCCTTCTGCAAAGTCAATTTAAATTACCGCACAGAAAATGGGCTCTCTCTCCTTCATTTATGTTGCATATGTGGGGGTAAGTATTTGGAATTTGATGTTCTTTAGACATTTTATTTACATGGCCCCTGACCTGCTCTGGCTGATAACTGTCGGGAGGAAGGTATTCCCAGTGAATTTCTCTGCGATGTCCCTGCTGACGGCTGGACGAGCAGCTGGAAGCCTCACTCTAACCCCTGGGGTTGAGTCAAGTCACACTGAACACCACTGCGGCTGAGCTTCAGTCCAGGAAAAGTTTGGGCTGATAAAGCACCGTGTTTTACTATTTACAGATGTTCAGCTGCCTCCGAATGACTTGCCATATGCACGAGTTAATCAGCCCCTACTCATCACTGAGCATTGCTCCACACCTCTGTGTTCTGTACGTGCTGGAGCCCCCAGGACAGGGCCCCCTTGTAGCAACACTTTGCCATACATCTCTTTTTCTAGTATTTTCTTTCATGGTGATTAAAAGAATAATTCAAACGCTTTGGTGAAAAATATCAACTGAATAGAATTTTTGCAGACAGCAAATCAGCGTACAAAAAGAGTGCAAGATGTCTTCTGGGATGTTCAGCGAAACGCACTAATGGTGGAATTTTCCACTCCCATCACATTGCTGCTCTGGTGTCCACGTAGTGAGCCACTAGTGCACGCACGCACTTTGCACTTTTTATACAGTTTTCAGCAGAAATTGGCTGAGAGGCAAAGGGAATTTTACCCTGAGGGTGCAGCTCTGCCAAGCACCTGCTAATGCCATCACACCTGATCTGCTCAGCCCTGGACGCTGAAAACTGAGTGGAGCTTTACTCTGAATTTCAGGGAGTGCAAGGTCACACCAAAGGTGACATCGGTACCTGTCAACATTAGAGCGAGTGGTGGGGTTGCTGAGAGGAAGGTTAAGAAAACACAGTGTTAATTAATCAGGGATGGCATGTGAGCTCTGGAAGGAGGGAGGGGAGCTGTTAGATCCAGCACTGTCCTCGTCACTGTCACGAGTATGCAGAAGGCAGATACATTTTTATATCACCGCTGTGCGTCGGAAGGGTAGCAGGGGGGCTACTTGCCCGTGCTGACGGTTAGCCCCCCGCAGAACCACTGTCCTGAAGAAGGCTGGGTAGAGGGGCAGAGCAGGGCTTCGGTCCTGAACAGACAGAAGAGTTTGGTGTCTGAGAAACCAGAGATTCGGGAAGCATCTGCTCATTTCTGGAGTTCTTTGCGTGGTCTGGATGGGAGAAAAGGAGTTTGCATCTTTCGAATGTTAACGAATCCTAATTAAAGGGCCAACAAACAGTGAGCCAGTAGATGGCCAGACCTGCAGCAGGTAAGGAGGTGGTGCCCAGTTCCTTTTGGAGTTTCACAAGATACATTTTATGACTTGACCCAGGTCAGCAGATGAGCTACCTATTTCTTTTTGCGTTCACACAGAAGTTTCCTACTTCATCTGCACATTCTTTTCTGTAAATTACTTTTTTTTCCAATTTTCATCCCAAAGGTAACAAGTCCCATATTAGAACTCTCATGCTGAAAGGACTGCGCCCGTCCAGATTAACCAGAAATGGATTTACAGCTCTGCACTTGGCCGCCTATAAGGTAAATTATTTCTAATAGAATTGATGAAAAGAAATCAGAACTGAGCAGCTTATTTGTCAGAACTATCTAGTTGAACTCTCTAATTGCTACTTTGGTGAAAATCTAAACCTCACATTTACAGTGCGTGGGAAAATGGCCTATAAAACCCGTGCATGGGAAACCAGCAGGTGCTTTCGCAGTGTCCATGAGGACATGACACTGCTTTGGAAATATTGATGAGATCCTGCAATGCAACTCGAGACAGAGGACTGTTCTTTTTATTACTGTAGCTATTAATAGAAACAATCTCAAAGGGTTTTATTTGACAATTTCTCTCTTTTTTGCTTCTTTTTTTGTTGTTCCTCCTCAAGTTCCATATTCAGCTTCAATGTTAATTTTCTTCACTATTGTATTTATCTTTTAAGACTCAACAATAACAGTAGCAAGGGGACAAAGACAGCATTTTCCTCAAGAATTGTTATGATTCTTATTTTGAGATGGAGCATCTTAGAAACTTAATCCATGCATAGAGTAGCCCCAAGGGCACTTAGAGGGAGCTCAGATCAAATGTAAGAGTTCCTGTTGAAGACTGTGGTCTTCAACCCTTACACACCCATAGGTGCCACGGGGCCGTAAAGCCTCTCCCCTGCAGAGCTCCCACGGCAGGGACCGCTCTGGTCCGCTGCACGTGCAAGGCCCGGGCAGGTTGAGTAGGTCGGCACCTCTGTGGAGTTCTTCCCTCTGCGGCAGGAGGACACAGACGTGGTCGATGGTCTTTAATGCCAACACCCAGTTCCGAAGGCAGCAGGGATCATCACAGTCCTCCTCCAGCAGCTGCCCTGCGCAGGAGGAGACCGTTTGCCTTTGATTAGGAAATAACCCGCTGATTGGGGTATTTGTCCAGAGAGAAGACCAAAGTCTCTCTGGAGGAGAGCTCGGACTCATTGTGCCCGTCACGAGCTGTGGCTGTCCTGGGGCGAGCAACCAGCTCTCCACGGAAAGGGACGGGGGGGTGAGGATGGGGGGCGGGAAGGGGAAGCCTAACACGGGCCATAGGACGCATAGTCGTGAGTGTTATTTGTGTGAGGAGGACACCGAGCCCCCGGTGTAGCCATGGTTTAGCTACTGGGGGGGGAGTAGGAGTGGAAAGAAAGAAGAGCTGCAAGCAGCAGCTCGTGTGATCTTGTCTGAAGGTGAGAAGAAAGACCCTGCCCCATTCCCAGTGCTCACTATGGACTAGCTAAGCCAACTCCTGGCTCCAGGGCTGGATTCCATCACTCCCACCACCAGAACTCTGAACTTGTCCCAGGTGCCTTTAGAGTGGTCATTAGATCGGCTGAATACTCAGCCATGGAGCCAGAAGCCCAAAAGTTCTGAGATGCTGGGGATGGCTTATGCTCTGCAGCCCTGTGGCTTAACCCCGTGTGCTTGCACCGTGACCAACCTTCCTCTCCTGGGGACGATAACGAGGCCCTGGCACAGGCTGCCCCGAGGAGCTGGGGCTGCTGTGGACCCCTGGCAGGGTTCAAGGCTGGGTTGGACGGGGCTTTGGGCACCCTGGGCTGGTGGAAGGTGGCCCTGCCCGGGGCAGGGGGTGGGACTACAAGATCTCCAAGGTCTCTTCCAGCCCAAACTGCTCTGTCATTCTGTGATTCCATCATCCAAGCACTTGCTATACCTTACCTTTTGTCTTGGAATCCCCGTGTTAGTTTCATTTTACAACCACTGGTACCAATTATCTATGCAGGCTATAAAATGATGACAGCAATCAAATCTTGTACATCATGGGATGAAGTGATGGTTTACAGCAACCATAAAAGAAACTTTCCCCCATGTGCCAATAATTAGCCAATTGCCTAGAAGAATTTGTCTGCCTTTATTTAATGTCAATCTCAGTAAACGGTTTCCAATTAATAATTTAGCTGGAAAAAAAAAAATCCTTTGTCTAAAAAGAGCTTTATAACAGATTTCTAGGATGTTTTCATTACTTGGGAATAGTTCTGGTTTTGCTATCCAATCTTGTCTGTTTTCCCTGCACTGTAAAGTTAATAAATCTCCTGCATCCACTTAGGCACAGGACTGTATCAGTGACTTACTTAATCATTCCGGTCATGTATGCAAGATCCAATATCTTCAGGTTGCACAAAGCTAAGCAAACTAGTGTGAATTTTGGGATGTAAAATAAGATGCAATACAGCATTTCCCCCATAAGTGACATTTTAAGACTTAAAGATTTACCATGAGTTTCCCAGTGACAGGTTTTGTTGCATTATAGTTCTTTCCCAATAAAATATAAAGGAGCCTAGAGATACCTCAGTAACAATCAAACAATGTACACCGAGACCGGGCAGCTTCTTGTGAAATTCCTTGACATCTGTGTTCTGAATTTTGCATGGCATTCCATAAAGCAGGACTGGGACAACTGGACTGAGTCACTAATTAGAACAGAACATTTCAAGGCAATTCAAACTCAGCCTGTCTTCCCAGGCCGCACAATACCCAGCCCATTACGCAGCCAAATGCCACGTTTCGAGCTCCAAAACTACTTGATAGGGAGTGATATAAACTTTACTGTCCATTATTATCAAAGAGAAATTCCTGACATTTCCTGAAAAGAGGAAAACTGTTTCAGTATGAACGCTTTGCTTTCACAGACATATTTTAACTGCTGCTTCGCTGCTGATGATTTCGTTCTTGTACTCTTTCATGTCTGCTTTGAAGAGTTGGAGAACAGTGGGGAAGTTTGGAGCTTTTAGTATCTTTTTTGCCCTTGAGCTGTGCTCATTTCTTCTTATGAAACAACAGTGAACTGGGGAGGGCTTATCCCTGGGCTGGATGGTGATGGAAGGCAGATCCCCAAGAAGGGAAGATTGTGCTAGCTCCAGCTGGGCCAGTTAAAACAAGTGATGGTGAGAAAGACAGCGAGTTCTGCCACTGCCCCCAGACCAATCATTTCACTTCTCTGGGTTCAATTTCACTATTTGTAAATCAGAATCTATTAACAGTTGCACTGCCTGGACACTGTGTGTTTCTCAAGGTCATTCATATCGCTATCGTTTGATAGTGCCCCTTGGTGCTGTTATACCTGGAAGAAGTTATAGCAGAAATTGCGTGCATGGCAGGGAAGAAGTGAAATGATACGGAAAATAAGCTCACGGTTCAGAATTCATCCTGGGAACTCCTCGGGTGCTCCCCTTCTGTGTGAGGTGCTGTAACATTTGGACACGCAGGACAGTCTGGGTGAGAGCTTAATGTGTGAGCTTGGAGACTGCGGCATCTTTAGAGACATCGTAGAATCAGAATAGAGACTTTTTTTAAAGATACGGTCTTTAGTGTCTCAAAAGAGAGAGTTCTGGTGCCCAGGACAAGTCTCCCCTCCACTCCTGTCCTCACCCCCTTGTGCTCCTGCGGTCACAGCCACGGTCACGGCCGCAGTCACGACCGCGGTCACGGCCGCGGCGCAGTAGTGGGGCAGGCCCAGACCTCCCCGGCTCCCTGTGCCCGCCCGCCCGCAGCTGTTGGAGCCGGCTCCCAGGAATAACGTCTTCTAAATGCTGCCCCTTAGGACAACGCGGAGCTGCTGACGGCGCTGCTGCACGGCGGAGCGGACATTCAGCAGGTCGGGTACGGGGCTCTGACAGCCCTTCACATCGCCACCATCGCCGGCCACCACAAGGTACGAGTGTCCTGCTCCCTACGGACAGTTATGGAAGTGAGGGGTAATAGTAGCGGGTCAGTTTATCTTAGAGTGACGCCCTGCAGAACAAAACTTGGAACTGCTTAAGTACAGCTAAATTTTCTTTCATTTTTTGTACATTTTGGGAAAAGCATGTCTGTTTGTGTATATTTACATCGAACAAACATTTGCGAAGGACACAGATCCGTTTGTAATCTCTCACCTTTACATAAATGTCCTTAAAGTCTTGGCGTAAATGGCACTGCCCTAAATATGAGAAATGTTACCCAATAGACACCTGATGAGACACGCTCCCTCAGACATGTCAGCATTTCTGCAGCTGGATATGGAGTGAGGCTTCCAAATACCGTCCGTCTGAGTGTGAAGGAGTGAAAGAGTTTTACTCCCTCATGTAGGTGTCACGGGCTCTGCTTCATGGCTCTGTGATTTCCGCTGCAGAAAGGGACAGAGGTTCTCAGTTCAGAGCTGTTTTATACTTCGGATTAGTGCAGAGAAAACCGTAGTCGGGGCAAGTCTAGCGTGAACCCCCAGCATCCATATCGATAAGTCTGCTGTGGTTGGAGTTATCACTGCGGGGAGCAGGGGGAGGGAGGGAGGGAGGGATGAGGCTCCCCAGATGCCTGTAATCAGGCCCTTCCCTCTCTAGACATGCTGTCAGTCATGAATCTGTTTTCTTATCATTTACCACCTCAGTTCAGTCATTTCACACATCATCTCATTGCTGTCACCCTGGCAACAGCTCACTCAGCGTCATTTATTTATTTTTTTAATTTCTTAAAGTACTGGGTGTGCAAAATTACCTTGGTAATGAAGGGTTTATGGCTGTAAACGTTCTCATGAATTCAGGTACTTTGCTTTTTATCTCCTTCGGGTCCATTAAGCAAAGATTTTGTCCTCTGCTTTGAGTAAAAGTTTAAACTTTTGCAGAATGCTGGACTAATTGATGGAGACGGAAATATCAGAATTCTTTAAAGAGAGATAATCAGCAAGAAATGCAAGAAAAAAAAAACAAGTACAAAGAAGGAAATCTAAGTGGTATTAATACTTGCTTTTACGCTGTGAATTTAGTTGTGCATCTTAGACTTGTAAATTCACTTCAAGTAGAAGAGTTTGGCTGGATGACGAGAAGGAAACGTGTGTGCAGCTTCCGACAGAAGAGCCTGTGTGCATGCACGCGGCAAGAGAGGGAAGATGTCCTGGGGACTCCAAGTCCCAGCAGCCGCTGGGCTTACTGACGTACAGAGAGCCATCCCTTCTGCCACGCTCTCAGTCACCCGACGTGCACACACACCATTTACTACGCGTATTTACATAATTATATATTGAAAGAGAGAAAGGACACTTCTTTTCAAACAGGCAGTTTTGTTGGATTTTTCTTTTTTTGGAAAATCCCTTTATAAATCTTCTATACTATCCCAAGGAACCTGCCATCACTTAAATACCTGCTCCAAGAAACTATGAGGCTGGCCGCTGCAGTTCAGCTGAGGAAAGGCGATACGTCTTAATTTACACTGTTTAGATTTTCTTTAATGTAATGTTTCTGTTTAGTCTGAAGAAATTATCAGATCTCTGGGTCAGCACCAATACGCTGCATTTTCTATTTTATTTAGGCTTTCAAAGATGCTGATAAATCCCTACTGGAATCTGCAGTCAGGATTTTAATTTCCAGTTAATTACATCTGAATTACTTTGAAGCTTTTTGAAAATTGCACCAGGGCACCCTTTGCAAATTTTTGCACTTAATACTTGCGAGTATTTCACCTTGTGCGTTAACTGCACGTGCACATGGGCAGAGGCAGTACCTAACGGCACAGTAGCTGTCGCAGGGCTCCAATTTCTGTGGACACTGATGCAGATAACGATCCCAACAGCAAAGCAGTCACCGGGAGAACGAGGCCATTTGTTCACACAGAGCTCTGAAGAGCTTGTACAGCCGCACTTCCACGAGGGAAGGCTGTACCCGCAGTGAATTTTCTGCTATAGTTTGGCTGCAGAGGGCTGGCGAATTGTGAGAGGGAGGGAGGCAGAGGTTCATTGGGGCAACAGTCCCAGCGCTGGTCGGTGTAAGGATTGCATGGCAGGACCCGTGAAGGGGAGAAGCTGTGTCCATGGAAAGCTGCCCCGTTTCTTATGGGAGTAGACGTCACACCGTTTGACCCCGTCGGGGCTATGTACGTGTGTGTATACGACTCTGCGTGAGTGTGCGTGGACGGACACTTTGTCTGCTGGGACCCTTCCCAGGCTTGAGGGCCACCGAGGGGACTGGTGAATTTGGCTTCACCTTGCAGCCTCCAAAATGGTTCCAAAATGACTTAAACCCAACAGGTGTGTTTGTGCTTCTAGTTAACAACAGGATGGGTAAAGACACAGATGGTGACAGCCTGAGTTACCTGGAGAGGCTCTGTGTGGGAAGGAGGCTAAGCGGAAGGAAGGTTAAAACAATTTACGGGTGGTCACACCAAGGAACTCAATTAAAAAGCCATTGACCTTGAGTGTCTCCGTCAGCGGCTCCAGCGGTGACCAGGGGACAAATCAACCCGTAGCGTCTGTTTCAGCCGGCGCGTGAGGAGGCGCGTGGCGGGGCAGCTGGCCGTCTCTGTCCCAGCGCCGGCTCTGCGGGGGGAGGACGGGCCCCTCGGCGTGTCGGCCCACAGGCAAGGCTGGGGCGAGCGGGCAGCGGGGCGGTGGCGTCGCAGCGTTTCGTCCCTGAGCATGCGGGCCCCGCTCGTTCCCTCCCAGCGCACAGACAGCTCTACGGGCCAGCCTTGAGTATCCCACTGCTCAGAAACAGGTGAGGAGCCACCACATCTAATTGTTCCATGCAAGGATTATAATGAGGTATTAACCAGAGCCTTAGCTCTTCAAGGACCCTTTTTTCTTTTATGGACAATGTACTTAATGTTTCCTCTCTGGGAAACACAAAGCACTCTCCTCTGCGTTGGGGTTTCAAGTAATTTTTAAAGTGAGTCCTGCAAATGCCAAAGGAAGGCTGCTGTTCGTCTCATGTCTCTACCTCCTGCTGAGGTTATTGAAAAATCAGGGTGCTCAGAATCCGACGAGGATAAAACCGTTAACTTCATAAGACATAACTGACTGTGAGTGGTTTTGAAAAACCCCTTATTTCTTCCTTGGAATGATCAGATCTGTATCAGAAGTGTTCTCCAGAAATGGAGAGGGACTCTATATAACTCGTTTGGTTCATCTGTTGGTCTGGGCACTGGAGATTCACGGTCCAAGTGCAAGCTTTGCCTCTCACTCTTTATACAGCTTTGAAATTTGCAGTCAGATTAGAAGCTCCTCTGCTAGATTCAGTAACTTATTTTGTCCAAAATTTCATTAATATTCATGGAAATATAGAATAATTTTTTCACACCCGCCCTTAAAAATAGAATAAATTTAAGCAAGAGAAAATAAATTTTTGTTCATCTTGCTAATTCCAATAAGATAAATAATTATTTATACCATTAAATAAATAAATAGCAGAGCTACACACACCAATCTCTGCTACATAGCCTCTTACTGCAGAAGACTGACTATATTTAAGAGAAAGATAGAGAGGACTGGGGAAGAAATTGCCTTGTTCCCCATTTCCCCGAAGAGTCAGGCTCTGGCGGCCGCTCCATCACCACACCTGGAACCACTGGTGGTCGGTTCCGTGAAGTGGGGTCACCGAAGGCATCAGCCTCCGCGGGATGTTCCGGCTCATTTGAGCCAGCGAGGTGTATAAATATTTCATGTGCTCGATGACTTAGCGCCGCCACCAAAACTCTTCCTTTTGCTTATTTTATCTATTAATGGAAATATCAGTGCTCAATGGGAAGAATGAAAAATTGATGAAAAACTATAAAATAAGCTGATGACCATATTAAAAACATCACCAAATTAGTTTAATAAATCTCTCATTAAGTCTGCTATTTTGAAAACATTAGATGTTTCCAGCCGAGGGTGGGTATTGCCAAGTAAATAATGCATGTGCCTCATACACATTTATGTGTTGTCCAGTAGCATCACGCTGCAAAACCAGTATCATTCCCTGCTTCATTTTGTAAATTAAAGTTGCCATTCTGAGATACGACATCTGCGGGTGCGTGAACTGGACTGAGGGTTGCAGGCAGGATGCGCCACTGCTACTTCATTTTTGCAGCCTGCAAACCTGAGAATCTGAAGTGTGAATGTGTTTGTAGCAAGGACCCATTGGGGAAGAGGGACTTAGCCCCATCTTACAGATTTTCTACATTAATAGATCCCTTTTCATTTAACAGTCACACGTTACACCAGCATGTTTGTCATCTCCTGTCTTCACGGGAATTTTAGTGGTAACAGAAGAATATTCGAATTACTTAAGAAGACTTGAAAAATTAAATTTAAGTGAGCTTATTTAAGTGGTCCACAAAGTCCCCATTTTCTTCTTTCATTCCATGCATTTTATGCTGGTGCTGCGTCTTCCCAGCCCCTTGTTTTAATCTGACACCAATTTTTCAGACCTTTTCAGAACCATTCAGGAACCAGGGATGCAGAAATGGCATTCACACAGCATCAGTGTACGTGGCTACACAAGCTGCAAGGTAATGGGGAATCAAAAATCCTCAGAATTTGCCTCTCCCTGAGGATCCGACCAGTGATGAAGACAGCGGGAACTCACGAGTTCTGAATTCAGTGGCTGTCTCTAACAGCTGCCAGCAAACCGTCCAGCTGAATGAAGTGGATTTACAGCCCACGGCAGGAGTACGAGGTGCTTGGCAGGAACAAGCGACAGAGCGTTGAGCTCAGTGGAGGAGCTCACACTGACCGCTCTGAAAACAGTGACAAACTTCGGCAACGCTTTCTCCAACCGTGCGTTCTGCCAAGAACGGCCTGTGCGTCAAATTTATGTGTGACCCACTTCTAAGCTAGAAGTCAAAGTAAATGTGACATTTTAAAATTATAGTATTGTTAAATTCACAGAGAGCTCTTTGATCAGAAGAGTTATCTTTTAGTAATATTGCACAAAAACATTTAAAATATTCTGTGTCTAGCATCTCCCAGTACCAGCAAAATATTAAAAAAAAAAAAAATCCTATTCTTTGGCTGCCCTGTAGCAAAAGCAATCCTGGGGAGAGCACTGTACTGCAAGACACCAGTACCTGCATCGTTCGCTAATGATGTATCTGTGACGAGTGTTTCGTCCAATTGGAACAGATAAGATGAAAAAACATGCAACAGCTTACTGCCGGTCTGCTGTCTGTCCTCTTGTCTTACAGAAGAGCACATATGAAATATTTTCGTAGACTTTTTCCTAAGACAATTGACTGTACGTTCATCAACAAGTTGTATTTCAAAGATTCAGAACCCCTTTTAGCAGTTTCTTAATTCAGTCGGATAAAGTTTGCTCTGAAATTCTCACAGATACACGGAGAGTTAGAAGTTGTCAGAATTTAATGCAAAAGCACTTCGCAGGACATGGCTGATCATATCTACATCTGCTAAATTGGAGGGAATTAGGCAAAGGCTTTCCACTGATCATATTTTTATTTTAACATCTTAATTAATAAAGGGACTCTGAAAATGATTATAGGTTTTTTTAGATATTTCAGTGCAAGGCTCTACAGAGGCTAGCACTGGTGCAAAGGCCTTAATTGCTGAAGTTGTCTTCTCATTTAAATTTTACCTGCCAAAAAGTCAATAAACATTAATCTCATTTCCTTAGAGGATTTCTTATATCTTGCCCTTGTCCAAAAGACAAAGTCCTTCTGTAGTCTCTCTCATGTTTTATTTTGTTGACTCCTTCTAACCTTCAGAGTAGCTTAATTAGTTTTCTTTGAAGAGAACATAATTGACTTGAATGTTCAAAAAGCTTCTGAACAAACCTTTCATAAGAAAATTTTGAGAAAAATTACAAAGTAAGAGTATTGTTCAAAGTGTTCAAAGTATTGTTTTCAATTAAAAATTCATTATGTGGGGAAAAGGGGAGCAGCGGTTTCCCTCGCTCTCCTGCCTGTGCCCCTGTGGGCGCAGCTCGGGGGGCCGCGAGCCCCTTTCCAGCGGGGCTGCGCCCACAGCCTCCGTGCTCTGTGTTTGTCCTTGTTGAGCTCCATACGGGTCCCCTCGGTCCCTCCCTCCAGCCCCTCGGGGCCCCTCCGGGTGGCGGCTCCCCCCGCCCCGGGGTACCGAGGCCATGACTCCACGTCCCCCGCTGAGGCGACCAGAGCACGCTCCAGCCCGGCAGCATCCACACTGTAAGATCCGACTTCGCTACAGGAGTGTTTGGGAGACCGTGCTGGAGTCAAAGCAAACGGCATCCCCTGTGCTGCCCAGCGCAGCGATCCAGCCACTGGAGCAGGGAGCGCAGGCGGGTCAAGGCCTCCCTGGGGACCGGGAGCTTCTTTTGGTCTTCCTATGAGAATGTAAAGCTCTTTTTGCATCAGAAATTTCCCCCTGACATTCTGAGGTAGTTTTATCCTTACGCGTGACTCCAGCATATCCACCTGCTTGTAATGCCTATGACAACTATTTCAGCGCTTTCTAAGATTCCTTTCTTCTTTCTCAGGAAGACAGTTTGTCTGTGAAACTATCAAGATTGTCTCTGTACCCCTCTCATCATTTACACCTGAGTGGAGTTTGCTTAATATGACTTAAAAAATTCTTTTTATCAGGAGAGCACAAAGTAGCTAACATGATTGCCGATTCCACAGCCTGGAAAAGTGTGTCAGAATTCCTCTGGTTTTGTGTTTATCATCAGAGGTGGATCCACATTGCTCAACACGTTTTTTTCATCTTGAAGATCCACCTTGAAGCTTGTGGATGAATCTAAATTTTTAATTCCGTCTTCCAAAGAGATTAAGGAGAATGGGAGTTGTGGCCACATCCCCGAGGGTGCTCTATCCTCACAGCCGTATGCCTAAATTACAACCAGACTGATCCAAAGACGTTTCAGCCATATTCATATAAAAGCCACAGCTCCAAATGAGTCTTTTCAGAGCCAACAACTTCCCTTTTGTGATAGCAGCTTGCTGAAAGATGTCCAAGATGAATCACTCAAAAGCCACCAAGCCAGAAAATCACAGAGGGACTGGCTCTCTGTTCCCACCTCTGGTCCACCAAGCTCCTTGTATCCTGCAAACTGTCTGGACGTGGGATACACGACAGAGGGTGTCGGTTGTATTAACAAAGAGTAACTAAGCGTGTTCTTTGTTTACTACCCGAAGACATGAACACCCATCCCGTAGATGCATGGGGTAAGGCTGTTACAGAGCCGTTCTTCAGCTGACCTAACTGTAGGCAGCTTCTCCAAAGATCTCAGGGGATCTTCCATAATTATTTTTTTTAATGGAGTTGACCTCTTCTTTGAGATCCAGAGCAAAAGGATGCACAGCAAAAGGATGCCGTCACACATGAGATTTAGCAAGGGAAATTCTGACTGTGTGTAAAGGGGGCGAGGGGATCACAGTGAGAGTGGTGCACCGCTGAAAGGGGTCAGAGAGGATGCAAACCTCCATCCTTGGAAATAATCAAAATCCAACTGGACAAGGCCCTGAGCAACCCGATCTTTGAAATTAGCCCTTGCTTTGATCAAGAGGATGGACTAGACACCTCCAACACCAACCATCCTATGAATCATTCCCTCTACTTCTTTCAAATGTGAACTGTACTCTCCCTGGGGGCTGACCCGAGGGAGATGATTATTCCCCGCTGCTCAGTACTGGGGCAGCAGCACCTGCAGCTCTGTGCCCAGCGCTGGGCTCCCAGAGAGACGCGGGCATCCTGGAGTGAGTCTAGGAAAGGGCTACAAAGACAGTTCGTGGATTGGAGCATCTGATGTACCAGGAGAATCTGGCAGAGCTGGGATTGTTCAGCCTGGAGCAGCGAAGGCTCTGGGGGGGGATCTTGTCGATGTGAACAAATCCCTGAGGGCGGGGAGTAAAGAAGAGGGAGCCAGACTCTTCCCAGAGGTGCCCAGTGACAGGAGGGATGGCAGTGGGCACAAACTGAAATTCAGGAAATGCTATTTAAACAGAAGAAAAAGCTTTTTTACTGTGAGGGTGCTCAAACACTGGAGCAGGTTTCCCGGCAGTTGTGGAGCCTCCATCCTTAGAGACTGGGCAGCGCTCACACCTGGCTGGACGTGGCCCTGGGAGACCGGCTCTAGGAAACGCCGCTTGACATAGAGGCACTGGGCTGGGCAATCTCCAGAGCTCCCCTCCAACCTCAAGGGCTATGTGATTCGGTACTATTTGTCCTTGTAACACAGGTGCCTCCTATAATGCACGGGGCCTGTTGAAACCCTTGGGTTCTGAAGAGACACAACTGGCCCTGCAGTGCTGGAGGCTTACAGCTGGTACCCTAGCGAAAGGGTTAAAACCAGCGGGATGCCGACACACTTGAGTATGTCAGGGAATGGACCTTACACGGGAAATGTATTCAGGCAGCCACATGGAAAAAATGTATTTCAATTTAAATTGTGTAAAGAAATAATCCCTTTACACTAATGTTGCTTGGTAACAGGTTTTCGTTCTCTGAGTACTTGAGAATGACACGGATTTAAATGACTGGCCCCATTGTTGCGGACACGAAATGATGTGGCGGCCTGAGCTTAGACAGCAGTTGGCAGAAGGGGCATCGTGCAGCCAGCGTTAATTGGCGTCTCCGGCCAAGGCTCGGTGGGGAGGTGCAGGTATGAACAGCTTAGCGCCGAAGCTGCTCGTTCCCTCTCCGTGTCACCTCGTCGGCTGCCGGGGCGCTGCGTCCCAGCTGCCCACCGTGCGCTGGGTGACTCACCATTCAGCGCCTTTCATCATCATTAGACTCAGAAATTAGCATTCATCACAACTGTGGGTACAACTACTCAAATAACCCGTGGTACAAGCCCCTCGGCGTGCCTAAGGACTCCCCTGTGCTTCAGAAAAATTAGCAGCCCTGAGGCTTCCATATATAATCCAAAGTGGCTTCATTCCGACTTGTGTTTTGACAGCTATTCAGAAAGCCAATGGCTGATAATTCATAGCTGTCCAGGAAAACATTGGCCTGCTGAAAGACCAGAAAAATGGAAATTTGAAAGAAAACACTTAGGGTTATTTATTGAAGCCAAAGGGCTATTATCTTCTAAAATACAAAGAAATCTTTACACACCGAGGGAATTATGCTTGAGGATTTACCTTCACACATTTACATTTAAAAGGATCTTTCATTTTGGTGGGGTTTTTTTACTTCTAAAAACTCTGATATGCTTACCGCTCTTTGTTCATAATGGTTAAAAGAAAATTAAAGGTTACTCCAAGAAAATCCAGACAGTAATTTCTGAGCCTTTTACTTTATAAATCAGGGGGGGTTTACTGGCAAAGAGATTTTCAGGCTTATTTATAAAGTGTCAGTGACATTCAGTGTTCAGTTAAAGTACTGTAAGTTAATCACTTTTACATGTTGTGTGCAGTTCTTCACCTTTATTTGCTTTATTTGCTTGATTGTGACTTTTGGGGTTTGGAGTTTTTTTTTAACTAGTGATGTAAGGGTTTGAAATCTTGTTTTACTCAACCATATGTGTGTATATATATACACACACACATACATATGTGTATATATATATAGTGCTTCTAATTGGAATTTTCTGTTTCTGTCCTTCCAGGCTGTTGATATTCTTTTGCAGCATGGAGCTTATGTGAACATTCAGGATGCGGTGTTTTTCACCCCGTTGCATATTGCTGCGTATTACGGCCATGAACAGGTAAATCATGGGGGATTTCAGAAAGCTGAGAGGTGGAACGCCGAGGCAACTATAGGTTTAGTGCTAGATACTTTTACTTTACATTGCAGAGGGTCCCACCACGACAAGGCCTCGTACACTGAAGTTACACTTCTGAGTCAGTCTCTGATTGCTCCAAGGGTCTGAACATCAGCAGGAAATTTCCACACTTTAATCCTCTGTGCTAGACCCCAGCAGAAATTGGTGACTTCCCCTCTAGACCTCTTAAAACAAGTGTTTGCCTAGTTAACTTTGATAACCTGTAAACAGACTTGGACCCAGAGGCGTATTTCATTTGGTGTTTATTCATCCCACCTCTCAGAGATTGCATCAGAAATGTGAGTGTACTTCCCTAGACCTCTCCAAGGAAATCACTTCATTCAGTAATAATTACATGGCAATTTTACTGGTTTTCCTTGGAATTCACAAACGAAATTGACAACGCTTTGAAGTTAATGGAAAAAACGATCATATAGAGAGCAGCATCTTCCATGAGGTACCGTGCACGTACAAGCCCAGCTGTGCTTCCTTCAGTCGCACGGATCACGGATTTATGAAACCTAATCTGAAGTTCTGACCAAAGCTGGCACTGAATGTCCCAATTCTTTCTTTTACTGAAGTATAATTGACATGTGGTTAATCTAGCAGTCCAGTCACTTGCCCTGAATAACTGTTTTGTCTGAAATGTAATAATGGGTCTGTTTTGGCTTATGAGTCATTCACGACACCCTTCTTTAGCTGAAAGCATGGATTCTGGGATATTTTCAAGTTTCAAAGGATGACCTGCAAGTAGAGTGCATTTTTCACTACAGTGACACGTTACTTCAAGTGTGTTGAGGAGTTGTTGTAGGCAAAGCTTTTGAGGGAGCAGCGAGGAGATGCACAGGTGACAGATAATGCTCTGCTCCCGCGGCCGGGTGCAGCGAGGCTGTGAGCCAGGGTGAGCTCCTCAGACGCTTCCTCTCATGCCTCACCGCCCAGTAACATTAAGAATCTCCTTGCACGTTGGGCTGAGAGACTAGTTCACTTATTTGCCATAAGCCACGTCCAAACAGTCACAGTCTGGTGCGAAAAGCTCCCGGGGTGCTCTTGTGATGAGCCGCTGGCCAGAGGAAACCAGGCTCTGGCATTTGCGCACGTGGAGGGCATTTGCTTCATCACGCTGGCTGGTCAGCAACGTCTGGCTTGTGTTTAGCTTCCTACCACACATAGCAACTTAGAGAATGAAGGAGCACTTCATTTTGAGAATTTTAATATTTTTATAGACGTGTAACTTAAAAATTAGTTTTCTGTTGAATCTCCTCGCCCTGTTTTAACTTCAGAGAGATGTCCACATACACTATTACCCAACAGAATGTTCTATCTGATTTTCTCAAAAGATTTATATTCGTGTCGTATTTTAATTAGCCTTAATGAAATATTTAGGTAACCCACCTCTTACTAAAGTTTGGAGCGGATGTGAATGCAAGTGGAGAAGTTGGAGACAGACCTCTTCACTTGGCTTCTGCCAAAGGCTTTCTCAACATAACAAAGCTCTTGATGGAAGAGGGGAGCAAAGCTGATGGTAAGAAAATGTATTTTTAAAAATCAACTTCCACATTGTATTTTATAGACAGTCAGGCCTTGAGTGTTGAATTTAGCTTCCTAACACGTACTCTCTGTGTGTTTGTGTATCATCTTTGGGCAACTGAAACAAAAAAAAAACAGCAGCTGGAGAGTTTCCTTCACTTCTTCTGTATGCTTGGTTTGCCATCTCACATGCATTCTGCTTCCATTAATAAATCAGAGGTGAAAAACAGCAGCAGGAACAGAACTAAGATTAATATACAGAGGTAGCTTACTATCGAGACTTCATGCAATCAGAGAACACGTGACCGTGCGGTACGTATTTCCAATCAAAATGACTTAAATGCATAGTGAACTCCTGGTGAATGAGATACAGATGAAGGATTTTAAGTCAAAATTATACAGCAAGTAATTTAAAATGATTCAGATGAGAAATTGAAATGGTTCACAAACAATTTCACAGAAAATGGAATCTTCTTAGCACGTGCTTTATTTTGCTTCGCGAGCTTCCTTGGCTGCACTGTGGGACGCTTCCCACGAGGGACAGTGGCTGTGTGAGGCCTCGTGGGCTCACAGGCACACAGGTACACCAGCATTTTTGGTGCTGTTGGTATTCCGTGAGCGATAGGAATCTGCCTTCTTTTCACAGAGGGTCCCGCGCCGATGCCACCACTCTAACATTGCAGTTCAGCGCTGTATATTTTGCACGTGCCGCAATTTAAGGTATTTTTCCCTGTAATTAATATTAGCATGCAAGTAGCGGCACTGCTGAATTCTTACGCTTGCTCTTCTGTTCCCTCTCCCATGGTGTTTCCGGAGTGCAGAAGGCACAGACCACACTCCAGCCTCCCTTTCCCAGCGCTGTGACGCTGCATCACAGGCGTGTGCATACACGCTTGCCGCCACGTCCTACAAACTCTTAGAAATGTTGAAACTTAGAGGTCAAATTTTACGCATATTATGATTACCAATGCAGAGATTCTTAAATACTAAACAACTTTAAAATGATTTAGAAATGAATTTCTTATCCTCAGAATAAGAGAATGTTGTTGCAAAGGATCAGGGCATTACTTGCAGAAGCGCTGCTCTTTAACACACCTCTGGACAACAGCATTACTCTTGTTAACACATCCACAAGGTAAAATCTCGGGCCCCTTGAAGCTCTCGACCTAGCAGCCTGCCGGACGCCTGGTTCCAGACTATGCAGGCAGCTATTCATGAACTAAAAGCAGCAGAGCCTAAGAGGGGCAGGTGAAGAAGGGAGGTTGTGCAGCCGCGTTTGCAAAGCGTGTTACACCGCCAGGCTCAGCTCTTCCCTCGTCTCACCTGGTGCGACACCCCCCGACACCTGTCAGCCCACGCCGGGAGGGGTTTGGCACAGGTTCTGTGTTCTCAGGCTGCAGTCTTCAGCGCTGGCCACGTAAAGCCCCAACATTCCTGAATAATTGTAAAAGCAGGGACAAGAGCCCGCGAGGCCTCTTCCTTGCCCAGTACGCCCAGTCATGCCAAAAGCAGCAGCACTCACGGACCCCTGTTCCTACGCTGCTAGTGGCATGAAGGCTGCATTTCTCCCCAGTTTCCTCCTGTTCGCTAGATTTTAACAGCACAAATTTACCATATTCTCTGCGAGTCCTGCCTACTGCACACACATCCTACTCACGCGGTAAAAAAACAGCGTGGAGGGAAATGGCACGACTCAGGTTTGTAAATGTTTTTTTCGATGGTGAGCTCTCCATGGGTGTGCACTGAACTGACACGGTTGTCATAAAGAGGCGAAGAGAAGAAACGTTCACTTACCATAACAAGGCAGTGGGAGGTCCACTATCAGATAGTTTATTCCAAGAGGAAAAGAATCTGGGACGTATTTGTTTCAGATTATTTTCTTTAAAACCAGAATCTTCAGCACTGGAAAAAGAAAAAGCAGCCTGGACGCGGGGAGTCTTTTACTCACAAGCAGCACACTTTGAAACACGGTATAAACACAGCAGGGGAGGAACAACTCCTACACGCCTAGGAATGAGAGTAATGGGTGAAATAACCTGGAGAAATTTTGGCAGTATTCTGTGCAGCCTGGTAATTGGTGTCATGAACTTGAACTGTTTCTTTTAACATAGCCTGGCTGACTCCTTGATCCGCTCGGAGGCCATGGCAACTGAAGAAAACCAGCGATCACTGAATCAGGCTGAAAAGGTCAGAATACCGGTGAAATGTGGCCACATTTGCAGCCCAACAACAGCCAGAGTTCGTCTTCAACCCAACCACAGTGCATAAGAAAAACATAAAAGGAATATGCTGCCGTGTGTATATCACCACGGAAGTACCCAGTTTACGTGTGCGTGTGCTTAGAGCCAGTGTGTTACGAGTGCAGACAGTTCTCCAGATGCTGATCTCATAATCCATTTTAACAGAAACACCGTAGGGAAGGACTCAGAAATTCTCTGTATTTTCAGAAATCGCATAAGGTCTTCCAAGGTATTGATCAGATTCCTCGAAGCTCCAAATTCATTTTGAGATCGTTAATCTATCTCGAAGACCAGCATGGCATTACAAGCTGCTATCACTTAAAGCGTCTTAGCTGTCTTGAGATCTTTACGAACTGATTTAGTGTGGAATTCCTCATTTCTGTTTTTAACAGCTTCTGTTTCCTTCTTCCTTTTTTCACACCTTCCAAGCTCCTAGAGATTTTATTTTTGCATTACGGAGTCAATATAATTGCTACTGACTTCCATATATATTCTGTCAGGAAATTCAGTTTTATGTTTTAGAATGTCTAAATCGTAGAATGGGGTACAAAGTATTACTTCAGCATTTTTGATTCATTCTTGTTATCTGGTAGGGTTTTTCCTAGGATAATCGTAATAAACAAAACAAAGATAAGGGTTTTTTTTTCTTAAAGTAAAGCAGAAAAGGAAGTTCATTACAAAGAAAAACTACCAGTATTCCTAATTAGCCCTTCTCTTTCCTCATTTCGTAGTTTTGCTGGTTTGGGCAGTTGCCTGGTTATGGCCTTGACCTGCGGAGGTGTGTAGTGAGGGCTGACCCATTAGGTAACCAGGAGGGTACAGCCCAGTCTCGGGAGGGCCGACTTCCCATCCAAAGTCCACCTCACCTAATTGTTTGTTTCTCAGTCTCACCTGCTGCTTATGTGAGGGCAGGTGAACCTGATCCCTGACCATGCAGAGCTGTGGGTTTCATCCCTTGTGCTATCAGCTCGCTGCTGCCGGTGGCTCAACACCCCAGCAGGGAGCAGGAAAGGGTGAGTGAAAGGTGGGTTTTATGAAGTAATGGTAATTTAGAACTGTCAGTGTGTTCTGCTCCTTTTTTATGTTCCGTTTCTTTGAAATCAGGGAGGGCCTGGAAATAATTGCTTCTCAAATGCTTAAATATCGAAGTAGGACTTCTAATGTAGATGTTTGCATGGCTTTGAAAACTGTTCCTTTCAAAATGAAAGAAAAAATTTGTATTTAAAAAACTGTTTTATAGCCTGATGGGGTAGCTAAGGAACAGAATATCTTCAAACCTAGAGAACTAGTTGGTGGCCAGGAAACAAAATGTTTCCTTTGCTTCAGATAAGCTTCATGTTCTTTTTTATTGTTCTTCAAACTGGTGGTCCTGGAGGTTTCTTTCTGGGGCCGTGTGGTATAAAATACATTCCTTGTCTTTGTAATTCCTATGGTCTTTTAATAAAATGTTCCTGCGTTCAGGGCTACTGAGCTGCCTAGAGCGGCAGGTCCCTGTTTCTCAAGTATCTTTGAAAGTCACTGTCACCTCTGTCAAATACAATCAATTTTAAATTTAAAACCAAAGTGTAATATTAAAAATCCAGGCACGTTCAGTTGTGCTTCTCTGAATATTAAACACTTTTCACTCGCTGGGACTTGGGCAATTGCCCTTATTTTTCTAAAACAGACTTGCACTGTCTTATTTTCATCCTTTTACTTGCTGTAATAGTTTCACCTGTTACTTTCTCCCTACATAATGTCTCAGTCCTAAGAATAATTTCTGCAGTACTCCATTTTGTTCCAGACAAAAAGTTAACGTTTGCTCATATTTTACTGATTGCTTGTAAGGCAACCTCAGTTTTTATTCTGACTGCCGTGACAGTTGTACTCTCTGTCCCAAATTTAATAGAAAAATACTTTAAAGTTTCATTTTTAAGAACTCTTCTGTACTCTTCCTTAGTAATTCCTGAATCAATATGATGTACTTTTTTTGCCATAACTCTCTTCTGAAGTGCTTTTGATTGATTTTTCTGTGTTTTGACTCTGAACTTCTTCAAGGCAATGTTCCAGTGTACCTGTTGTATTTCATTTAGAAATCAAAAAGCTATCAGTTAAGGCAAAAACCATCATCCCCTGTTGTAGTTACGTATCCTTCCGCAGGCAGAGGAAAGGCCTTGCAAGTATTTGACATGCATCTTCGTTTCCTTCCTTGCTTCTACCGTACACCTTGTGCTGTGGAAGCTCATGGCCCTGAGGCCCTTGATGTCCTTCAGGCCATTCTGTGGGCACAGATTCTAAAATGCTGACATTTATTACGATAAAACCTTGACATTTATTCCCCTCTTATTTATTGCATTTCAGAATGAATCTGTGTCTGGTACTGCGTCATAATCAAATATAAAAGCATGTCACATGAATCTGTTAAGTGAAGAATTATTTTAGAATAGACAAATAAAACAGTTTACTCTTTTTAATATAAGTCTGCTAGAAGGGTTAGTGGGAGCAGTTAATGAAATTTGTGGGCCACAAGCTTAATTTAAGTTATAGGTGTTTTTTGGGGTTGGGTTTTGGGGGTTTTTTTTTGGCCTGAAATTCATCTTTGGAACTGTCACTAGTCATCAGTGAAGGTATAAGTTCAGCTCATTTTAAAGGACTGTCTATTTCTGTGAGCACTCAGCATTGCTTCAGAAAGGTTTTAAAACAGAGATTTGTTTTAATTTTCATTGCTCTTTATAGTCAGAGAGAATCGGGAGAAGGCAGAACCTCATGTGCTTGGTTCACCCCTTGCCCCAAGGAGGCTCAGCTGCAGGAGCTGGGAGATGTTTGCCAAAGCTGTGCTTAAAGGCCTGTGCAGTACAAGTCTCGACACCTCTAATGACAGTTTATTCCTTAGTAGACTATTAATTTCTTGTGAACTGTCTCAAAGATCTGGTGCTTGACTGAACTGAGAACAGAATATTGCCCAAACTCGACTGTATTTGTCAGTTCTGTCAGTTACGGTATCAACCAGTTACGCTTGTTCTATCTTTAAACGTAGGAAGAAATACATTGCAAATCACAGAAATGCATCCTGCCTGTTAAAACTGAGCAAAGACCCTTTTTGGATAACGAACACAGCATTTGTATGTGTCTGTACCACAGAGAAGTCTGCCTAGAGCCTTGCGCGATCCCTTCCCTCCCAGGGGAGGAGCGGTGCGGGGGAGCCCGCAGCCGCCTCGGGCTCACGCCGGGGAGGGGTCCCGGGTGGAGGGCTGCAGTCCCCCCGCCTGTGAAGAGGCAGATCACGCTCCTGGCACGGGTGTGCTCCAGGAACACGGGCAGTCTCAAGCAGTTCCCACCTGCGGGCCAAGGACCTCACTGGGAGATGAAAACATTGGAAATCCAGATGTTTGGGTGAATTCCCTTCCTTTCTCACCCTTTCTGTATTCATATTTTAATAGTGACTATGAAAAATGTATCCTTACATCTCTGTCGTTTCTTATTTAAATTTCCTTTTCATCACTTTATAATTTTATCAAGAATTCTTGATCCTGCTACTCAAGGAACCTCACATAAACCTTAAAACCAACTGGATTTTCCTTTCCTAAGAGCAACAATGAAGTAGGTTTCTTCCTAGTACTTGTAATTAATAACTATGGTTCCATGCATTTGGAATAACTCAGTGGATTGCTTTCTTACATACAGTAACTGTATTTTACATTTGCTTCACATCGTAATATACTGACAGCAATTGCTCTTTCTAATGGTCATTTATAACTCGTGATTCCTTCATGGAAAGCTACATCAAAACATTCAATGTATCTGCTGCTGGAAGAAAGCAATTATACCCCAAGTCCCAAAAATCGTCTCGACAGTGTACTACAGATGGCACTGAGGGATGCAGTTTTGATATATGAAAGCTCACAGAAATTGCAATTTTAAAGAAAAAGGACCATAAATATTTTAGCAGGAGGTTTCAGAACATACAGGCATAACACATAAAGCATCATGAGGAATCCAGAACAAGTTGTGTAAGTATAAAATACTTTCTTTGGTCTCTTTCTGGGTCAAATGGCAGTGAATGCTCAGGACAACGAAGATCATGTTCCTCTGCACTTCTGCTGTCGGTTTGGACACCATGAAATTGTGAAGTTCTTGCTGCAGAGCAGCTTTGAAGTTCAGCCCCACGTGGTGAATATCTATGGAGACACACCTTTACACCTGTGAGTCGCAGGGAAGCTCCGTGTTACGTGGTCGGGCCTCGTTACAAAGCTGGTGTTGTTAACGGCTCTTCACTGGCTTCCTCTTCAGCGCATGTTACAATGGCAAGTTTGAAGTTGTCAAGGAAATAATTCAGCTCTCAGGAACAGAAAGTCTCACTAAAGAAAACATCTTCAGTGAAACGGCTTTCCACAGGTGAGACGTTTACAACGCCGCCAGCACCATCCCACCTGCACACGCGCACAGCACCCGCGATTACAAACGTCCCGCCACGGCCAGGGGTGAGCTCCACGGGGACCATGAGTTTGTATCTTGAGATACAGGGGAGGACACGAGGTAAGAGGTAGAACCGGGCAGTGAACGGGGAGGGAGAAGGGGGCAGCACCGGCCTGGGGTCCGGCAGCGTCTGGCTGAGGGAGGGTTTCTCTGTCTGCACAGCCCGGGTCTGAGCCTAGAGCCTGTCCTGCCCCAACCCGCTGGAGCCGAGGTACTCCAAATCGGGAATGAGGCGGCAGAACACAGTTTGGTCACGACGCCCTAAGCTTCTGAACTGTTATTTAAGAAGCCCTTTGCAAAATAAACTTTATTAATTTTGCATAGCTGTGCAAAATTAATTTACACAACCATAATTAGAATGTTTTTGAAAGAACAGAAGTGAACATGCTTTTGTGGATTAATCATGCATTCGCACATTTCTAAAGTTCCTTTATTCTATTACTACTTTGTTAACTCTGTATAATTCTTATTGAATTTTTGACTACCCAAAGTATTTGTCCTTTTATGGGCTATGGCGTTCACTTTTCCCTTTATTTTTGCAGTGCTTGCACCTATGGAAAGAACATAGAACTTGTAAAATTTCTTCTTGACCAGAACATTGTAAGCATCAATCACCAAGGAAGGGATGGACACACAGGTAACATCATGGTCCTTGGTGTGTGTGAGTGCATATACCAGCACCAAAACATTTGGAAGCCATACAGGCTCAGGATTTCCAGGGTCATTCCCATGGTGACTGATGATCAACATCCAGTTCCCTTTCAGGCAGATCTCGGCCTTTTTGAAATAATGTTTGCAGGCAGGCATATAGTGGTAAGAGTTCAGTGCGGATGTGTCGGGCTCGTTAGCCTGTATATGAGTAACAAAACCTGATGTAAACTGATTCTCCCCTAGTTAGGCTTTTTAAGTAGTCTTTAGAACTGGGCCCAAGTATTATTGTGTTAGGGACTAGGCACACAGGATAGGGTGTCTGATGGGCCACGTGCCTCCGCGTCCCTACGACAGGCAACAGAAAAAGCAGCCTCCTTTGTTTCCAATTGCTTTTCCTCAGGGACGAAGTTGTTAAATGTGATTTGCAGGTGGTAGAGTAAATGCTGACATGTTGTGTAGCCGGCAGTAGATTGGTTCTCGCAGCATTAATATTTTATTTTCACCTATTGCCTCAGGTGTTTTTTTATAATAAGTTCTTTAATCGAGGAAATCGATTTGCTGTTTGTCCCATGGCGCTGTCCTGGCAGCGTGCGCGCCGAGCTCTCTGTGTTGCAGGGTTACACTGCGCGTGCTACCATGGCCACATTCGACTTGTGCAGTTCCTCCTGGATAATGGAGCCGATATGAACCTGGTAGCTTGTGATCCCAGCAGGTCCAGTGGAGAAAAGGATGAGCAGACCTGTTTGATGTGGGCTTATGAGAAAGGTATTTTAATTTTCTAGTTTCTGCCACGAAATCCACAGGAGCAGAACGGGAAGGAGATGACGCTACAGAACAACCCCCTCAGGGCCTGCAGGCTAAGAGCTCTCACCATCTGCTTTCCAGTCCCTGGCGCGAAGGGTTATAGAAACCAGCCCTTTTATTTGTCTTCTCAGATATTCTGTTAAACATCGGTTTAATTCAACACAAAACCAAGGACTGGAGTATTTATATGCTGCTAAAAAACAGAACATACAGCCTGTTCAGAAAAGGCTATTTCCCCCTCTGGTATGTGCGTGAGTTCTGATTTTATTACTGCAGAGGCCTTACAAGGAGCGATGGTTCAGAGTCAATAATCTTAAATCCTTGCAGATATGGATCAAAGCGAGGCGTTTTCCATGGCTGCTGCTACACTGTCCTACACGCACAGCAATGTGTCGGGTTTCTGCCCTGTTTTTGACTCCGTGACTTCTGGGACATTCCCCCCTCCTCCAGAAGCACCATTTCTTGTGAGGATGACTGTCATATAGTAAAAGTGCAGCTTTCAAAGGCCTTTCCAGCCTGGATACGGGCAAAATACTCTGTATGAAATTACTGAGGGAAAGCTCATCTTTGAGGGGTTTGGAAAATAACCTTCGGCACAGCCAAGCAGAGCAACGTGTGTCAGACGTGGGAGACACGAGCCCCCCGCCCCGACGCCGCTCCGCTCCGGTTCCTTGCGAGAACAACGAGCGGAGCGCCTGCCCCCAGCCACGCGCTGTACAGATTGCATCTGGCTTAGGACACCAAAACTGAAATATTTTCAGGCACCGGTTTTCTTGTAAGGCCTGTTGAAGACTTTTGTCAACTTCCATTTTTTCTTTTGCCGTGGTCACATTTCAGCATTAGGGGTGGACTCGCCAAGCATCACGCTTGGGTTTATGGGCAGGTATTTCCCCGTGTTTCTGTAGGTAACGATCACAGTATGTTTCAGATTAGTGCCGCTGTATCTTTACTTACATGTTTTATAGGCACATTGTACTTTCTTTTTAAAAAGAATATCTCCTGCGTTTACCTGCGAATCCTTGTACTCCCTCTTTCTCTCCTAGGTCACGATGCCATCGTGACCCTCCTGAAGCACTATAAGAGACCTCAGGATGAGTCGCCCTGTAACGAATACTCACAGCCCGGAGGAGGTACAGTCTGAGAAACCACTTTATTCTCCAGCTGCAGGGGCTGATCCAAAGGCTGCTGAAGTCTCTGGAAATGTTCCACTGATGTCAGGGAGCTTTGGGTCAGTTCTGTCTGGCTCAAAGAAAATGAGTGTCATGAGAATCACCATTTTCCAGGTACCCTCTATTTGTGTCAGAAGTCTTCCTTTATCTTAAAATACAGTTGTCGCTTCCTGTTACTCGCTGGAAAGAAAAGCTAAAATCTGTGAGACGAAGCTCAATCCCAAGTAATCCATACTCAAACCTTTTTACATCCTCGTTTAGCCATTCCCTCAGTGTTGTTTAGCTCCGATGTGTATTTTCACCCCTTTATTATTCATTCTTCAAGCAATCGTTGCCTCGTGAATTTATCAGTACAGACACTTACATGTCGCTGAATTCCCTAAGATTCTTTCTCTTCTTCTATTTCAGATGGTTCCTATGTGTCAGTTCCATCCCCTCTAGGAAAGATTAAAAGCATGACTAAAGGTATTTTCAGTGGCAAGAGAAAACTTGAACTTTTACAGTCTTTTTACCCAAGGTGTTTGTCAGCGTAAACATACTACACGTGATTCATTATTCCTGGAATTTTCGTTGTTCAGAACTGTAATGATGTGCACAAGCAGCAGCTATATTTCCCCAGGATAATTTTAGGAGACAATCTACTTAGCTTTGCTGCTCAGCAACATTATAATTCCTGTGTCTATCTTATTTTCATTTACTTTAAAAAAAAAAATTTATTTTTATTTCCTTGGAGAAAAGGATGTAATTGGGAATTTGTGTTAATGAAATACGCACATATCCATGACTGCAAACAAATACAAAATTGAATTCCACTGTAAATTGCCTGGATTTTCTTTACAAGAAAAATTCTGTCCAAAAGTAATTTGTGTTCATCTGAAACACACATCAATAAAACATTCAGATGAATACTTGTACTTCAAAATATTTCCTTTTTTCTTATGGTGCTTTCAATTTTCCACTTCACACATTCACTCTGGACATAATCAAATCCTCACATCTTTTACACTGCAGCATTTAAATGTTCCATTTGGAAATATTCTGATAAACTTTACAGTCATAAACCAAAAAGATCAACAAGGCAGAGCGCTTTGCTAACTAAATTACATCGCAAATTTAGATTCCACACGTCGCCACAGAGTCGGTCAGATCGGGAATAACATCCCCTGCCTTCGTAACAAGCATTAGCTATACCGAGGAAAAGGAACCAATTCACCGTACAAGGAGCTTTACGCAGCCTTCCCATGGCGGGGCAGAAGGCGCTTTGGGGACCGTGTTCACCAGCGATAAGATTTTAAAGCCAGGACAGCCCAAAGCAACTGTAGCACTGCAAGTGTTTGTCTGTTACTGGGGTTTGCTGGGGTTACTGAAAGAAAAGGGAAGAGGATTTACCCATCAACCAGTTTACAGGAGGAAAATGAGCTTTTACTGCACAATGGTTTTGTGAAGTTAAATGTTTCTGTTCTGCGCTTCCCCGTGACCCCGCACTTTACAAAAAGGAGAAGTGTTTTCTTTTGCAGAAAAGGCGGACGTTCTCCTCCTCCGCGCTGGTCTGCCGTCACATTTCCACCTTCAGCTCTCGGAAATAGAGTTCCATGAGATTATCGGCTCAGGTACCAGGAATAAGAATACATCCATTTTAAATGTTTGTTGTTTATAATAAATATCTTTGTGCTTATTTATTTTAAATCATTTTAGGGTCTTTTGGAAAAGTATATAAGGGACGATGCAGAAACAAAATTGTTGCAATCAAACGGTAAGTTTATCAGACTTTTCCATCTTGTTTGGTTAATAGCCTTGTTTGCAGTATTAAACCCCCCACATATTTTATGATATTTTTGCCTTACTGCTGTCTCGTGTCAATTCTAAGGTACCGAGCCAACACCTACTGCTCCAAATCTGATGTGGACATGTTCTGCCGGGAGGTTTCCATTCTCTGCCGGCTGAATCATCCCTGTGTCATCCAGTTTGTGGGAGCCTGTTTAGATGACCCAAGCCAGTTTGCAATAGTCACTCAGTACATTTCCGGGGGATCGCTCTTCTCCCTGCTCCACGAGCAGAAGAGGTATGACGCTGCTTCTCGGCTTGGGCTTGGGCCACAGCATTTGGAAGACTAGTAAATCTGTGCTGATGCAGTGTTACTCCTTTCAGCATAAAACAATAAAGGAACACGCTCAAAAAATTTCAGCTTCAATTCAGAGGCAAATCAATAAGTAATCACAAACCTGTTATTGTCATTATTTTACATTACATAGATTATATAACATTATTTTGTATTTAAAGCAACTTTAAAGGCTCCATGATTTACAGATAAGAATAATTTGCAGATAATTTTTTTTCTGTTTCTTAATTTTGAGTAATATTCATCTTTCTTCAAAATATAGAACTCTTGATCTGCAGTCCAAATTGATCATCGCAGTCGATGTTGCCAAAGGCATGGAGTACCTCCACAATCTCACGCAGCCAATCATACATCGTGATTTGAACAGGTAAGTTTCTTACTTTATCCTAAAAATTCAGGGACTGTGAAGCCTCAGAGTAACAGCGACGGTCCGAGTGCCCCGTACCTGGGTGTCTCACTGATGCTGCCGAGGCTGGAGGGAGGCTGCTGGTGTCCACGGTGTCCGATATTCACTGGGGGCTTCGGTACATTTTGGTTGAATGACTTAACACACAGTAGCCAATTTCATGCTTATAATAATTTCACTGACAAATATATTATCTGAGGTTTACAAAATACTATTTATAATATATTTGCATACTTTAGTCCTGTGGAATAGCCTTTTTCCGAGTCATACTATCTACTTCATTTCCCCACTATATAACTTCTTGAATCCAATTCCTTTCACCTACTTTTGCCCCTCTAAGAATTAAGTGCCTGATTTGCTCGCTAGTCCCGCTGAGGTGGCCACAGAAATGCGCGCAGGCTTCCGGCAGGGAACCCCTCCCTTAGTTTCAGGTGCCGGTGCCGCTCCAGGGAGGGTGCTGGGTGTAGAGGCTGTGCCTGGTGCCGACACCCAGAGGTACAGAGGGCGAGCCCCAGCCCCGGAGTCAGCTGGCGGCGCACAAACCGCTGCAGGTCACGTTTGTGGGACCAGAATTGTCCCCGAAGGTGCAGCCGCTGCAGGCCAGCGCTTCCTCGCACCCACGCTTCCACAGAGAAGCATCTTCTCTGCTGAGCATAAACTTTTTGTTGTGCCTCCCTCGGACATCGCTCAGGCTAGCCATTCTGCACTAACTTCTGCTTTGGAATGAGCTAACCACAATTGCCTATAGTTGTGTTTGAAGAGGAGCAGCCAGGTGATGAAGGTCAATGCTGCATAGGTGCTGCGCTTCCCCGTGGCAGAGGCTGTTTCCAAGCAAACAACTTCATATGTACGAGCACTGCGACAAGGAAGCTGCCCCAGAAAAGACTTTTTAAACGTAGGATGAAGTGAGTTACAGCATGGGTTTTCTTCAGTGTCAGACATACACCTCTTCATTCTCCACAGGCTTAACTAGTTGTTTTTAAAAAAAATTACGGAAGTGTTCATTTTGTTTATATCTCAAATGGCCAGCCCTATACAGCTGCGGTGATGTCATAACATTTTCCTGCATCTTGCTGTAAGTTTTCATTTCCCAGTGACACTGATAGCTGCAGTGAAAGATTCCTTGTGAAAGACAGGCATCCTTTCGGGAAAAGGAGCTGGGTTTTTCCCTTTGATGAGCAAAGAAGTAAACTGATTGTGAGACTATGCCCAGCTCAGGGTTCAGGGTATGAAATTCGGAAAAAAAAAAATAATGAGGCAGCAGCAATGTTCTGGACGTTGCTGCTGGCATCTCCAGGAGAGCAGCTGGCTTGCACATGGGACAGGTTCTGTTTTCCTGCTCCACGTGTACCTGCAGGGACAGCTCTGCAAAGGCTCCCGCGAAGGGAGGGACCCCAAGTGTAGTTTGTCCTTTCTAAATGGGAAGTTTCTTGGGGTTTAAATCATAACAGCACGTTTGTTTGGAAGAGGGTGCAAACCAAAGCCACCGAACTCAGCGTCCTGCCTCTGGCAGCAGCCCGCAGGGAGAGGTTGGAGAGCCAGGCAGGTGTGTAACGGCAATGGCTGGAATTCTCTCGGTGCCCAAGACCTCTGGGTTCAGAAAGGTACTTTCAAAAATGAGTACCTGCTCTTGAAGCCATTTTTTTAAATGCAAGAATAATTCTATTTGTGGTTTCAAAAGAAAAAATATCTTTGCAGACTGAAGAAGAAAATCAGATCACTAATGCAAAAGAAACTGCACATTTCTTTATTTTAGTTTGAAAAATGCAGCCTACAACCCCTGTCGCCTCAGGCCAGTCTGCTGGGATTTATGAGCCCTAGGTCAGCAATATTGGCACAAACTCTGCTTTGCACTCTGACCGCAGATTTGAGCAGACTTTGCTATATTTGTCTCCTGCAATGTATGAGTGCATCCATCTGCTTGTGTTAAAACTGCTATAAGCACATAAAAATGGCTACGGTTAACCATTGCCGATTACGTTCCAAATGACTTTATTTAAATGTGCAGCTATGGTGTTTCTGTATGGGTATGATAAATGTATGATGCTCGGAAGGATATTGCTGATGTGTTCTATTCATCCGTGTATAATGACTATATGGAGCCTTCATCTAAGTATATTAATATAAGCCATATCCTGCAATTTCACTGTAGTAGAACTACATAAAATTTGTGTGTTGAAGAGTATTTTAAATGCACTTTGGATTGACTAAATACTTCCAAGCCCTCGTCACACCAAAATGCTTTTAGCCTAAGAAATCTTGAACCCACATTTCAGCGGCCTTTGAAATGCTTTATTTTGGCATTTTAAAATATTTTTTTCTATTCCTCCTAGTTTTTAATTTTTAAATTCTAATTCAAGTTCCAAGTTCTTAACATATAATTCTACTTTAAAAAAAAAAAAAAAAAAAAAAAGAAAATTTGAAATTGAATGTCTCATCTTCATCTGAACAAGTAACATTTCGTGGAGGAGAAATGTCTGCTCCCCAGTTTTTGTTCAATAATGTGAAGCTCCATAAAATGTTCTGAGTCAATGCAAAATGAAACAGTCCATTGAAATCACTTATTCAAACAGTTCCATTAATTAGCAGCAGCCATTAGGACAGTCGAACTCTTAAGCACGGTTCAAATTATCTTCTAACGCATTTGGAACTAATTGCAATTCATTACCAAGTGACTTGACTGCAAATTTTCTGTCACCAGTTCTGAGTGATTTGGGAGGAATTTGGGGAAATCCTGGGAGGGGAAACTCCAACTGTCTGTTCCCGACTATGCCTGTGCGCGATTCCTGCCCGTGGCATGGGGGAGTCCTCCTCCTCCTTCTCTTCCTCTTCCTCCTCCTCCTCCTGCTCAGCTTCAGACTCCTCAGCCCTCGCCCCAGAGCCCGGGGCAATGCCCCCCGAAAAGGCCCGGGGCTCCCCAGGGACCGATGGCTCGGTGGGGCAGGGGGTCCCGCGGAGGCTCTCGCTATTTTTCCCCAGTGCAGAACTGAAATGATGGAATGCTGAACACTTGATTCGTTGGTTTCTGTCCTTGTTGACTGAGTTTCCCACACAGGCAAACACTTTCTTCTACTGGCCTGCAAGGACGGATACAAATACTTGTTTAATCCATTTATCTGGGTTTTTTTAATTTTCCATTTGAGAAGTCTCAGTTTATTTCCAGCAGAGCACCGTGCTTTCAAATAACACACTGTCACTTTCTCTTATTACTTCATCTCCTTTCTTTTGTTTTGCCATTTTTGCTTTATGATTTCCCCATAATCACTGAGTTCATCTGACTGTTTCTTGGTTTGTTTGGCCCATTTACTGCAGGTAAAAGCATCCCTGATTGCATCACATCTAAGGGCTGAAGTCTAGGGCCGTGCACTCATTCCATTTCTTTGGTGGCACAAGCGGAAGCCCTGAACCCTCAGTGTATGAACAGAAAAATCTGTTCTTGCTGCTCTAGCTGTGAGAATAGTCTCCTGATGCGCGTGCTTCAGCGAAGGGTGGTGAAACACTGAATGGTGTTGTCATGAGAGTTTAGATGAAAACGATCCTTCTGGTAAAGACAAAGCTCTTGGTTCTGCCGGGCCTCCCGCACATCACTGGAGGGGGGGGGCTGGGCCCTCCCCTCGCACACCGCAGCTGTGTGCGGCTTTGAAGGAGCCGCCTCCCGCCTCTGACCATCTCCTCTGCTTGTACGAGGCAGCCCTTGCACGTCCCGAGCGCTGAGACGGACACTCAGTCCTGCAGTTCTGGCCCAAGTCGGGACCGCGGGCAGGTTCTACTTAGGTACCTCTACTCTTCTGGCAAATTGATCTTAACCTATCTTGCACAACAAAGTCTGGGTCGAGAGCAAAGAGAAGCTATTGCTACTACAAACTTTCAGTATATTAAACTGTGAGGGAAAGCTTGGCACTGGACAGAGCTTTTCTACATTGACCTTTCTTTCTATAAAAAAAATATAGCTGCTGCTAAGGGCAATGTGCCTCCACCAGTCCTAGAGGCTTTAGGAAATGTTACAGAAAAAAGCTGTTTGGGCCAGACACCAGTGAGTATCCATTTTTTAAAGTATGTGGTGGATTGGCTCGGATTTGCTGCACGGAAAGCAATCTGTATATCAACCTGGAAAAAAGACAGGCTGGAAGAACGTCTTCTCGCTACCGCGTTTTTATTTTTTCATGACTGCACTTGCCTCATTTCACCATCACGTAGTTTCATGTTCACCACTTCTTGTCCTCCTCGTTGCAGTCCAGGCTTCCTTCTCCCCACCCCTCTGGCTCCAACTTCACTCATCCTCCCCTTTCTGAGTGCCCTTCATACGCCCGCCTCCCCTCACAGGTTCCTCTCGGGCCACCAAGCTGGGAAGCTCCACGGGAGGTGCTTTCTTCTGGAGCTGTCATTCTTGCCGCAGCCGTGGTGCACGGCGAGAGCCCCTGTCTGAGCGCCACAGCTACGCGTGGCTGTTCCGGGACAGCAGAGATCCAGACCTTATTGTTCGCCTTGTCATTACTGGCTGGTAGAAAAATAGTTTGGCACCGAAGGATTTTAAATAATGTTTTCCACAGAAGAAAACCCAAAACAGTATCTTTGCTAGAGAGCCAAAAAGCGTATCGTTGCCTCAGAGAGCTTTCCCTGGAGCCTATTTGTGAGGGTCAAACCACGGTTTGGTGTAAGGGCGTCGGTGTGGCTCATGTGCAGTGCCGAGTACCTTAACTTCTGAGAGATTTTAGTGTGAGAGCAGAAGTCGTGTTTCCAGCGTGAGTCCCAGTCAGCCCACGGGCACAATTACCAGATGAAAATCTTTACGACAACTTAAGAGAAAGACCAAGAGTGAAATTCTGTGTTAACTTTTGCCAGTGGCTTCACAGGAGCCTCAAATTTTTTACCTTAAATTTTCACATAGTTTGTAACCCTCTTTGTGAGTTCTGAAATCTAATGCAATGCACATAATGCATTAAATAAACCTGCAATAGGGC